CCTAGATTAGGAGATTCCTGTCTCTACAAATGAAAACACACACAGAATACAGATGTTCCTTATATTTATGCAATAAATCACTATACAGGAATGCATATTGCGATACATATTACAACATATGGGGAGCTGAAGTGTTTGTAGAGATAGAGTACTGGTCTGTCTCACAGTTCTTGAACCACATTATTTTCCCTTCCGCCCAGCCCTTCCTGTAATGCTAAAGCCCTAAATGAAGCAAGTCTAGATTTCCCCAGGTTCAGGCCTGAATCTCCCAACTCACTGGGGCTCCTTTTCAATTTAAATGGGTTTATTTGTTACTATCAATATTATATATATTTGGGGTCTAAGCGTTAGTCTAATTAAGTACTGTTGAGTACTTGCAGATCCTAGTTTCTGTAAGCTATTTAATAAATGAACACTGGGACATGTGTGACTTCGTTTTCTGTTTCATCATGTATAATTCAACAGGCACATTTCTCTTTGCAAGTTCAATTTAACATGTTAAGTGAGTGAGTTTAGTTTTATGCCACACTCAGCATATATATATATGGCTAATCAACCAAAATCTTCAACGTGAGCATCGGTCGTGCAATCTGATGGACAAGAGTGATTGATTGATTGAAACATATTTTATTCAATTAAGAAACAGATTGGGCACAAGTTATCGAACTTAAATAAGCCCTTTCCAAATAGTTACAAGTGTATATTACAAAAAAGTTCAACAAGAGGCAGACAAAGGGTATAGATATGTGCAGACAGAGTTATTTAACACAAGAGTGGGTGAGCGAATGAGTGAGTGAGTATGGCTTTACGCAGTTTTGAACGCTATTACAGCAATATCATGGTGAGGGTTACCAGGAATGGGCTTCACACGTTGTACCCAGGTGGGGAATAGAAACTGGGTCTTCAGTGTGACGAGAAAACACTTTCTAACACAATTAGAACACAATTCTAACCCGGACCTTCATGGGTTAACATGTTTAGAACACAGCAAGTATGAACAACAGCCTTACAATATTTGTAAGTGATGTGTATTATCTTCACAACAATAGTATTAGGCTGCCAACTAATTCCAAGTAATTTTGAGTAATGTAGAAATGAAACTAAATGTCTCTCAAACTTTGAACTGAACAAAGAAACTTAAAAGGTTTTAACTTTCAACCTAAAACATGATATGAACTTTTTAACACAGTACTCACTAGCGACTTCCAAGATTTTATTTCAGGAACATCATGTGAATTGTAAGTGTACCACAAATGACATTTATCTTTTAAAGCATCATTATTACCTCAATATAACTAAAGCACCAAACCAGAAAAATAGCAATGACTCTCAGACATAAGCATTTGGATCTTAGACACTGGAACTATGATCGGAAGGTTCAACAGTAAACAGTTTGAATGTCTTATCACTATAACATATTAACTTCAGTCAGTTACTCTAAGTTCAAGTTGTTCTTCAGAAACAGAAGCATATCCACATGATTTCATTGATAATGTTGATGCTTTTTGATGAGATACAATGTCCCCAGCTGTCAAAAGACTCTCAGACGGCACACTTGTTGCTGGAACACACAACAGCATGCTTGCCATCTTTCACATACATAGAAACATGTAATGTTCCTTTCTATCAGGTCAGACTGTTGTCTGGGAGTGTTATGCCGGCTTTACTTTCATCCTTTGTTACTTCCACTTCGGGAAGTTTGAGATTTGGCTTGTTCTGTTTTCATCACAGGGACTTCTCTTAGTAAAATGTCTAAGATGAATTTTGGGCAAGATGACAGAGACATGGAATCCATTTTTCATGAAGCCTTCACTAGGTGTTGGTTGTACTGTCTGGTGACTGTGTTGGGGTAGTTCTGTTTGCAGACATTTTTATTAGACAGGATCATTCAGTAGTGGGTTAATGTTTTGTTCAGTTTTCACAGCAGTTCAGATTCACAGTTCAAGTGGAACGTGGCTGTTTCAGACACAGCTTCCCAAACACATGAAAGTTAGAACATTAGACATGTATGGGAAGAGTTTCAACCCAGGGTCCTCTGTATCATCTCCATGATGATTTCATTTCTGAAACCGCTGGTAATGTCCCTTTGTCTGCACACCAAGGCTACCCAACAGCTGGTGCCTTAATCAGATAAATGTAATTGTTGGCGATTTCTCCTTACATAACAATTTCTGGTGTCCCCCGCCGTGATATTGCTGGAATATTGCTAAAAGCAGCGTAAAACTAAACTCAGTCAGTCAGTCAGCCAGTCCTTACATAACATCATTGGGATATGTTTCATGACTTTCAAGCACTGAATAACATATCTTCCATCAAAGGAATATCCTACTTAGATAATGACTGCATGTCTCTTTTGAGCTTACACAGCTCTTTGGTGTTGAAGTGTTATCACTGCCCAGTGCATTTCAAGACATCCTGCTGCCATGTCAGAAGAAGCACTATTCCAGTGGGTGCTGGCATCCATAATTGTGTTGAGGCAGGGCCAGGAGTGCAACCTTCACCTAACGCACGTTGTTAGTTATGGAAATTCTGTGGAAGAAGGCTTCAATTTGTCACATTTTTGCAAGCCCATGAGACAAGCTTTATACATTCAATGACTTTTGTAAGTTGATGATGTATTAAGTTTGATTATCAAAAGCTTGACAAGCTTTAATCACATTTGGCAGCATTGTCAGTCATGACAGTAGGAAAGCCATGTTTTGTTGGTATTTTCCATTCCACATCTACCCCTTAGAGAGTGTCTGAAATATGTTCAGCTGAAAATGTTTTTCATTTCTTTAAAAGGTTTTTACATTTCTTTAGGATTAAGAAATAAGAAGCCTTGACACAGATCAAGTTTTGTGAAAGTTTACCAGAAAGACTCCTGAGAACACGTTCAAGATATCACACTGAAGTCAAAAAAGTTAGATTTTCATTCTGTGAAAACCAAGGTTTATTTCACGTCATCAGTAGTGGTAAACTGATCATGGTTCCTGTAAGTTCATCACTTGGTGTACATAGAAGAGTCTGCTACAAGTGTTGTACACAACATTGAAGTTTTTCTTTAAAATTCAGGGCCCAGTTCCTCAAAGCAATCGTAGCGCGAAGACGATCGCTTTGAGAAACGGGGCCTAGGCAACAAAATGAAACAATAAATATACTTAGCTTAGCTATCTGACAAACTCCATTCCGGACTTGTCGACTGTGGGTTTGTTTGATGTGTGTCGGGGATGCTTGCTATGTTGGTTTAAAAAATATACATGTCAAAACACAGTTGACCGCCTCCATGGTGTAGTGGTTAGAGCGTCCGCCCGAGAGCGGAAGGTCGCGGGTTCGATCCCCGACCGCGTCATACCAAAAGACGTTAAAATATGGTACTTGTTGGTCCCTGCCTGGCGCTCGGCATTAATGGTCGGCTCGGAGTCAGTATAATGTGGAGTCACTGCGGCATGGTATCTCAGTGGGCTAGCACTATAAAACCAGCTTTAAGTCTGGGCTAGTACAAGCAGCCGCACATACACATACACACGCATGCACGTCATCATATGAGCGAAATATTCTCAAGCACGACGTTAAACCCAAATTCACCTCACTTCACATGTATCAGTCAAACTCCCCTGTATACCATGTGAACAACTGTTGAAACAAGTAAGCCTTCTACACATTTGCAGTCCTGTAACAAAAAAAATTGGAAAAAAACCCAGCAATTTCCTTTCAGAATTTATGTCTAAGCTCAGCACACAAATCGCAGAGACTCACCAAACTATAAACTTGTGTTTAACTGATATATACTGGTCATTGACATATTATACAAAACACTACTCAGTCATGTTATTAAAACAATTTAAAGCTGATTTTGCAAAACAGGCATGCTTTTTGGGCAGATTATGCAAGCTTGCTATTGTGAAGCTGATACTGTCCCAGTTGTTTAGCAAATATCTAATAGACTGACATGTTTCATTGGATACCTGTTTACGTATTGACTTAATGCAACTCTGGACAAGGCAAGAGCGTAATCAATATTTGTGTAGTGATGAACAAGCTTGAACAGCTTGAAACAGCTTGCTGGGGTTCCACAGTGGATTTCAGTTGATGACATGTGTTCTGGATTTGTCCAATACTTATCTTTGGTCTCAGGGAGCACTAGAATTGACAGAATGAAATACAGCCAATTGATTCTGATCTGTGAATTGATTCAGGTAATAGATGGTGGAGATGATAGTTTTGTTATGGAACGGCAGTAATCATGGTAACCATGGCAACTGATTAATGAACATAATTGCATTACACATGTAGCAAGGCTCTAAATGTAATCTTATGATGCCAATGCTACAATACTGCTTCAACATGAGTAGAGGAAATCGTGGCCTTGAAAATAATTACATATATCAGACTCTAAGAGTTATCACTGAGGTGGCAGTAAAAAGCAGCATTTGTTCCAGGTGCTGACCAATCCTGCATAATTGCTGAAAAGTGGCTTATTAGCTATAATTTTCTTTTCTTACCTTTTAACATATAAAGCAGGGAGAGAGACACATGACAATAAACATATATGTCTGTATGTCCCTACTCGTTTAATGAAGTTGGTGAAGAACCCAATTCTCCTGTCTAACTAGTACCCTATATACATGATATATATATATTGAGGGGTTGTGATGCAATTATAGTTATAAACAGTTTCCCTGTATTATGTCTACAATATGCCTGGAGTCCTATCAAGTATTTGTGGTGTGTGTCATCAAGTATACTATAAATGTTTCAGGGCGGTGGGGTAGCCTAGTGGTTAGAGTGTTCGCTCGTCACGCAATTTCAGATTTTCAGAAGAAGGCCTAGGTTCGATTCCCCTACTTGGGTACAATGTGTGATGCCCATTTCTGGTGTCCCCTGCTGTGTCGTTGCAGGAATATTGCTAAAAACCGCATAAAACCAAACTCACTCACTCACTCACTCACTCACTCCTCACTCACTCACTCATAATGTTTTATTGTCTATTCCTTACATTGTCACATGATCAATTTCAGATTTTCAGAAGAAGGTCCACACCTGACCCGACTTCCAGATGGAATCCTGGAAATCCTGGGCAACTACCTGTCGAAATGTAGTGAGCAGTTCCTGGGAGGCTTCAACACAGAAGCCCTTGTCTTTGCAGAGAGCATCCTGAAATGCTTGATTGTCATGTGCAGGTAGGTACATAAATAGGGACTTGAAATGCTTGACTGTCACATGCAGGAAGGTGCATAAATAGGAGCTTGAAATGCTTGATTGTCACATGTAGGTAGACGAATAAATAGCGGCTCGAAATGCTTGATTGTCACGTGTATGTAGGTGAATAAATAGTGGCTTGAAATGCTTGATTATTATGTGTGTGTAGGTGAATAATGGGGCCTTGAATTGCTTGATTGTCCCATGTGGATAGGTGAATAATGGGGCCTTGAACTGCTTGATTTGTCCCATGTGGATAGATGAATAATGGGGCCTTGAAATGCTTGATTGTCATATGTGGATAGGTGAATAATGGTGCCTTGAAATGCTTGATTGTCCCATGTGGATAGGTGAATATTGGGGCCTTGAAATGCTTGATTGTCACATGTGGATAGGTGAATAATGCGGCCTCGAATTGCTTGATTGTCACATGTGGATAGGTGAATAATGGGGCCTTCAAATGCTTGATTGATCCATGTGGATAGATGAATAATGGGGCCTTCAAATGCTTGATTGTCCCATGTGGATTAGTGTTGGGAATTGGTTTAAATATCATACTTGATGATTGGTTCACTACAACCGATCAATCATCGAAAATAATTGGTTAGCGTCATTTATCAAATTTTCCTGGTTATGTTTGTTAATGCACAAAAGATAAAGAGAAAAACATGTAGTTTTTTTCGTTTTCTTTGCAAATAGCACAAAATGCATTTGCAAATTTCACATCTTTAAAGGATGACTAGCATGTTAGGAACATGAATTTCATGGAGTCTTTAAAATAAATTCAATCATGAATTGCAAGAGCTTGTAGTGCTAATGAAATCTAACAGACAAAACCAACCTTGTGAAAAATATTGTTATTGCAAACAAGTGTTCCAATATTGATTGTGTTTGATTATGAGAAAACATGATCGATTGCTTGGTCGTTTTGTCATTGTGACCAATCTTCGATTATTTCAATTAATCTGACCACCACTAATGTGGATAGATGAATAATGGGGCCTTGAAATGCTTGATTGTCCCATGTTGATAGGTGAATAATGGGGCCTTGAAATGCTTGATTGCTAATGTGGATAGATGAATAATGGGGCCTTGAAATGCTTGATTGTCCCATGTTGATAGTCACACATGTGGATAATGAATATTTGGGCCTTGAAATGGATTGTCCTTGATAGGTGAATGCTTGATTGTCCCATGTGGATAGGTGAATAATGGGGCCTTGAAATGCTTGATTGTCACATGTGGATAGGTGAATATTGGGGCCTTGAAATGCTTGATTGTCCCATGTGGATAGATGAATAATGGGGCCTTGAAATGCTTGATTGTAACGTGTGTAGGTGAATAATGGGGCCTTGAAATGCTTGATTGTAACGTGTGTAGGTGAATACTGGGGCCTCGAAATGCTTGATTGTTCCATGTGGATAGATGAATATTGGGGCCTTGAAATGCTTGATTGTCCCATGTGGATGTGTAGGTGAATAATGGGGCCTTGAAATGTTTGACTGTAACGTGTGTAGGTGAATAAATGGGGTTTGATATGCTTGATTGTCACATGTGTGCAGGTGAATAAATAGCGGCTTGAAATGGGGTTAACATTAGGGGCTTGAAATACATGAATGTCATGTGTGGTTTGGAATATTGAACTTCAGTAAGAATGTCTTTTTCCTATTTCAGAAACTATGACAATGTGCCGCTTGTAGCTTCTTGTGAGTTTGTGAGCCACACAGTTGTCATATCAACTACTGTTGTCGATCAGGTAATTGTTTTGTTTTTCTTGAACATATTTTTTTTTATTCCAGAATGATATTCAATAGTTGAAAATTCCTTCAATATTATTTAAGAATTTAACCAATGTGTGATTATGAACCTTCAAAAGTGATGGACAAACGGTATAATGTTGGAGCTGCTCATCATTGTCCATTGGACTGATGATTCAGAGGTGTTTATAAAGGTGTTGAATAGATAATGAAGTTAGATTGCTGTGAAATGTAAGTTACTGACTGTCACTGTTATTCTGGGCATGGATCAAGTCATTAGTTTGGGTATGCATTTCTATATTTTGTGTACTAGGAATGTCAGTAGTGTATTTTAGATACTTAAAGGTCATATGCAACGTAAAACACAACTTTGCAGATTCTGATACCTTTCGGTAGGGACTTACCGAAACAAATCGTCAAAAATGCAAATTCAACTTATAAAGTTGAAAAAAAACGCGATGAAAAAAAACGCGAGAAATCGGAGTTCAAACATTTCACTAATTTTTCCCCCGACTTTTCTGGGGAAAACTGGTTTCAACAGCTGGGCTGCGCTCATAGCACATGCGCAGTGAAATAGGTTCGCGCAGCTTGGAGCGCGGGTTGTCCGGTGAATACCTCGGTGAAGGCGTTGGTGTGAGCTATTTTTCTAATGTTTTGTTGATATCTCACAGGCGAAGCTTTTTATATGTTATGACAGTAAATTAACTGTTTATATAATTTCATTTGTCTATTTCACCACACGTTCTTCTTACCGAGTCACTTTCTCAGTTCGATACTTGAAAGCAATGTCATTATTTAGCGTTGACAGAATTTCTAACTGTGATATAGATATGTCGTTGTCACAGACAAAACTCAATGTCTTGTTTTATTGACACCTGTGTGTCTGCCTGTCTGTCTGCTAATGACAATATTCAATACACAGCTGCTATCACTGACCACATGCAATTTGAACTTAACACCAATCAGGCTATACACCATAAACAAAATGCATTGATTTATGGCCCGAGTTCGGTCTCTGTCACATTATGTAATTACACAGACAGGCAGGTGTGATACTTGAACACATGACATGTTATGATGTCTGTTGATTGTAAAATGTTATGCACAAAAAATGAGCATGTATTTTCAAAACCCAACATCTCTATATATACACACACAATGAGCCGTGAGGGCATCTGCAAATGAACCAGCCGTTACACTTGAGTGCACACCCACCCGCTCTGACTGGGTTCGGTATCCCGGCTGCTTCGTTTCTTGGGAAGTAAACCCAAGTACACAATATTGCACTTTTGATTTGCGATTGTACGCTTATAACTTTGTTTATATTTTTTTTCATAACCAGCAATGTATATTATATGTCATGAATAAGTGATAATTGTGTTTTAATTATGTTTGATTTTTTGGTTGCATGTGACCTTTAAGAGTTGAAAGTTCCTAATTGATCAGAATTATTTATGCTGGGCATTTCCTGAATGCGACCCATGGAATGTGGAAGTAGTCTCCATGGTAACGTCGCTTAAAGTTACAGTCTTGTGGAATATGTATGATAGTCACAATTTGCATATATGTGCTTATAAACATCATGTGACAGCAACAGACCCATTATTATCCCCCGCAACGCGATTTGCGGGGGATATTAAAAAGGACTCCCTCCGTCCGTCCGTCCGTTCAATAAAACCGTTCAATATTTCTTCACCAAACTTGGCACATAGATAGATCTGGTGGTGTACTGGTGCCTTTTGGTAGTTTTGGAATTCTGAATAAAACATTTTTGGCGTTTCCATGGCAACAAGTTTGACTTAGACTGAAATTGGTGGTTGTGCTCTTTTCCAGAGCAGAACTCTAAAACGGTTCAAAATTTCTTCACCAAACTTGGCACATAGATAGATCTGGTGGTGTACTGGTGCCTTTTGGTAGTTTTGGAATTCTGAATAAAACATTTTTGGCGTTTCCATGGCAACAAGTTCGACTTACAATGAAATTAGTGGTAGTGCTCTTTTCCAGAGCAGAACTCTAAAACCATTCAATGTTTCTTCACCAAACTTGGCACATAGATAGATCTGGTGGTGTACTGGTGCCTTTTGGTAGTTTGGATTTCTGAATAAAATATTTTTGGCATTTCCATGGCAACAAGTTTGACATAGACTGAAATTGGTGATAGTGCTCCTTTCTGCAGCAGAACTTTAAAAACCTTTCAGTACTCTCCTTCCACTTTTCTATATACACACCTAAATATTTGACATAATCATAACTCGTAGACATAATCATGAAGAGTATTTTGCCATTGCGGGGGATATTGATGACTTTGTCTTCTTGTAGTTGAATAAGCCCGTGAAGATCTCGGTTAGAATTGATCTTTAGTAACCCATGCTTGTCGTAAGAGGCGACTAACGGGTGGTCAGGCTCGCTGACATGGTTCCCAATTGCATAGATTGATGCTCATGTTGTTGATCACTGGATTGTCTTGTCCAGACTCAATTATTTACAGACCACCGCCATATGGCTGGAATATTGCTAAGTACGGCGTAAAACCAAACTCACTCACTCTTTTATATGAAATTTGAGCATGGCAGCCGATACCTCAGCAATACGGTTTCCTCTAATCCAACATCCAACATCGGAGGTTGTTTGAAGTTGATGTCTTCCTCTCAAATCTGTTAAGGTTTCTTCAATATGTTCAGTTGGAAAGTAACATTATTTCTATATTCCTTAGACTTCAGTTTCATGCATTTGTCTGAATTAAGTCATCACATGGTTAAACTGACGGCCTAACCCTCTCCTGATTCAGATTTGTCGGGACAGTGATAATCCTGCCAACCCAACTGACTGTCTCTTCTCCTTTGTGAAGCATACCCTTCATCTGTTTGAGTGCCTCTATGACCCATACTTCATCTGGAGGAAGAAATTAAGATGGTAGGTAGGACGATGTGCGCAAAGTACTTGTTTCAGCAACAGGTCAAACATCTTCATCAATGAACCCTTTTAGCTGCATAAAGTTTCTTATTGCAGTATATTGCATTCTGATGAAATCAATCTGCACTCATTTTCTGATGATGATGATTTGGAGATTTTACGTTTGTTTTCTGACATGATGCATATTTCACACATGGGTGAATCTTCTGATATCAGGGGTGAACTGATATTAAGGTATTTCAATTTTCGAAGCAGAGTTGCATACCTTGGAGTGCCAGGATTTGACAGACATGGCCATAATTCACAAGTATGTGCTCGTTATGATCTTTCGTCTGTCAACCCCATGCTAATGCTTGTTCATGACCTGTGTTCATTTGACCCCCATGTTTCAGAAAGATTAAGTCACTGTTAGTTTTGTGTGGATAAATAATAATAGGCCATTTATATAGCACCTTTCCATGACACAGGGATATGCTCAAAATGAGTGTAACTGATATGAGTGTAACCAGTTTAAACAGAAGTCACAGTGAGAGAAAGTGAGGACTGTTAAAGACAGACAAATTATTAAGTCAGACAACTTCACATTGGAAAATGTCAGAATCACCAAGGTATCTCATTAGTCATTGCATGCATAATCATAGCCCTGGATCTGTTCCAGCTGGAAGATTGACAACACCAGATTAAAGTTCCGCCCTGCCTTACTGCATAATGAAGTTGTCCCTTTCTTTCATGGTAAGTTTATCTGCATTTTTTCACAACCAAGATTGGTAGCATTTATATGAATGACTGCTGGTCATCCTTGTCTTGAATGTTCTCAATGTAAACATTTTTGGGGAATTTCCCAGTTTGGAATTAGGCCAACCTGCATCCTCTGTAGGATTGGATGATTTCAGTGGTGTTGCTTCATCATTAATATTACTCGTTGTTACTCAGTGGTCCAGGTCAGAGTGTAATAAGGGTGACTGGAATAAACTAATGTGTTCTATCTGACTGATTGTTTGATTCAAGTGTGCTTGGCTTTATACCAATCCTCTTGAAATACCCCCAGTCTATCTATGCATATCTTTATCAGCGAGGGGCAATGGGGTAGCCTAGTGGTTAATGTGTTCACTCGTAATGCTGAAGACCCGGGTTCGATTCCGGACCTGGGTACAATGTTTGATGCCAATTTCTGGTGTCCCCAGCCCTGATATTGCTGGAATATTGCTAAAAGTGGCGAGTACCGTACACTGATGGGTCTGTTTTGTTAAGATTCTGGTTTGTTCATAAATGAAATCGATAGATTGCTGTCACTAGGTTTGAATCATGTACAGAAATGGTGAAGGTGTAAAAGAAGGTTAAAAACATGAGATGGAAAACACCTGTTTGGACATGGAACTGTATGTTATTCTTACATCTGGGGTTTGTTTGGTCTCATGTTATTGGAAGGTCAAAGGTCAAGGTCAAGAGATCTCAAAGTTTGTGGTTACACTTTCTGAAAGTTATTTGTATTTATGAGAGAGATTGTTGATCTTTAATTGTGACATCATGACTACCAGTTTCCTAATGTCTATGCACACTCTCTTTCAGATTGTTTCCAGAAGGATAAATTGTCTACCGATATCCAACTACGTCTTTTACACATATTTGGTGCCATAATGTCTGGGGCTCCGGTAATGACAGAGAATCATATCATTTGTATTAATTTTGTCATTTGTTTTAAGAGAAATGTTTTACTCATTTGTTAAATGATGTTGTAGTAATCATCATCATCATCATCATCATCATCATCATCATCATCATCATCATCGTCATCGTCACCTTTGAGTGGATACATTTGGATACTTAACCAGCAGCATTCTTTGCACCCTAAAGAGTAAAATCACTTTGATAGTCATAATCTTTTATACACAAAATTAAGCAGTTATCAAACCTTGTCAGACATGAATGAGTCTTTTTACCTGTTGCAACTTTTGCAGCATAATGCACTCAAGGCCATCACCCCGGCAACCCTAGATGTTCTCCTGAAGATTCTGTCCACTAATCAGAGAGAAGGTCCAACCAATGAACAGCGCCAGGAGAGGCTGTGTCTGAAGGACCTGGTGTTGAAGAACATTGTGAGGATGGTCCACACCATCCACTGCTGCAGCCCTGACCAGGTTAGTCAACTAAACAGGGTTCTTCAACATTACAAGATTTCCCCAGCAACCCTTGCTTGTTATAGGGGCAACCATAGGGATCACCTAGTCAGACTTACTTACTCGGCTGAGTGCATATTGTTGCATCAGACTTAGTTGATAGCCTGTCGTGTCATCCCCCATGACAGGACATGTTGCGTGTTATACCACTGAGTTTAAAGAGCTTGGTAGCAGAACAGTGTGGGGGCAGTGGGGTAGCCTAGTGGTTAATGCATTCACTTGTCACACCGAAGACCTGGGTTCGATTCCCCACATGGGTACAATGTGTGAAGCCCATTTCTGGTGTCCCCCGCTGCAATATTGCTGGAATATTGCTAAAAGCGGCATAAAACCATACTCGCTCACTCACTCATAACTGTGTGTAGGTATATGATCCATATGTTTATACTTGTGACATGAGACTATTGATTGTGATTTGCACAGCGCCAAGTGGAAGTGATAGAGGTGATGCAGGGCTACATGCAGGTGCTGCTTGCTCTACAGAAGGATGCCATTGATGCCCCAGAGACAGAACACAACATGCAGCTCACCATGATCAGTAAGCCTTGTATTACCATGGTTATCTGGGAAATGTCTCACCCGCAGAGAACATGCCATTATTTGAGAGCTGATAATTCATACACCTTTCAAAGAAGTGTTGTTTAAGTGGTTACTTTACCAAATGCCTGAAATATCTAAGTATTTGTGGAAACAAAATATACACATAGAAACTAATAAGGGAACACATGAAAGTACAAATGTTCCTTTATTCTTTTCCAGCTTTCTTCACAAGATATGTATTGCACTGTGAGTGGAATTCTGGAAATAAGTAAAGGAACACTTGTACTTTCATGTGTTCCCTTATTCGTTTCTATGAGTATATCGAACACCAGGACAATATATGAAGTATAAGGTCAAACTCTTTTTCTTAAAACCAAACGTGGGTAATGAGATGCCTGTGCTTTGACAAAACATTCATTTATTACTCTTGGAAGCACAACCTTATCGCAGGAAAAATAATTACTTTTTATTGTCTAAAATTCTCATCATAATGTGTTCATTTTGTTATATAGTGTTGCATTTAGTTTGATCAGTTGACTGTACATGTTTCAGACACCATCAATGAGATGATGGTGTGCAATGACAGGGCAGCTCTACAGGTGCTCATGGTGTCAGGAGGGACGTTTAATGCTTTCATCTCTCTCCTACAACAAACCTCAGTGAGTACAATGGCAAGAACACTTACTCCATTACAGCTAATGTTGGGGGGTGGGGGTCAGAATAAGTTCTCAGTCAGGGAAGTGTTGCTTGTTGTGAAGCTCGGCCCTATGAGGTTCAAGGCCATTCCACAACATGATCATAGCACTAGCACTGTAACTCTTGTCACATCGATGTCTGACATTAACATTGTTTAATGGAACTTCCATACATATTGTGTCGATTCTGACTTGGCTACAAAACCTGATAATGTTGATGAAACTGAGCATCACTCAAATTGTCAATCTAACAGTATATGCTGAAAACAAAGACCTAAGTATCTTGGAACAAATGTTTTATTACCTTTGCTCTCAGTAAATTCAATTCGAAGGCACTGGAGATGTTTACTGAACAAGTCCTGAACAAGTTGTTGTATTTTCCAGCTGACAGGTGCCCAGGCCCAACAGCTGGCCATGTCGGTCATCAGGGTGATGCAGGTCATCCTCTCAGGATCCTCCAATGCCAAGGTGAGTCAGTGTGATTGTGCGTGGGTAGAAACTACAACAGATTTCCACGACCTGACCATTATTGCTATGACTTTATGACTGAAAGAAATCATTACCACCGCATGGGTGTCTATGATAGATCAGGTCAAGCCAGAAATCGAAATGATTCAAATGCCTTTAATACCATTAAACTGGACCTCGATAATACCTTAATATCTGACAAATTTTATACATTATGTCTTTCAGCTCATGTTTAAAACCAAAGTTGGTTACATCAAGTTTGTGGAAGTGTTGAAGAGCCTTGGACAGCCATCAGTGGAGCTGCTGAAATCTGTGCTGAACCTGGTAAGTGATCAGCATTGTGTTCAGACTGTTCAGCAGTATCCAACTGAATCTGATCAAGATCACTGAGAATTAATCTGACCTATGTATTTTTGTTATTCCTTGGTCGAATCTTATTCCCTTAACATAGTGTTATACAGTCCTAAAATATCTGATGTGATGTTTTCACTTACAATTATGCAAAATTGATCATATTGTTCAGTTTAACTGATTATTGATCAAGTTGTCAAGATTAGGAAGATTGTATAATAAATGCAGGATTTTGATGGTATCACTGTATTTCTTGGTAGGCACCTCATGCTCAATACTAAAGTTGAAAATATATGTGATGTTCCCATTAAAGAGATTTCACTGAATTTTTTTCTGGAACTGCATGATGCCCAGTCCTTTTGTTTGCCTCATTGCTGTTTGTATTATATTTAATATAATAATTGTTGATAGTGTAACAGAAGTGTGATAATTTTGCAAATTAACTGACCACATTTTCATTTGTATATCAGGTTGTTGAAGGAGAGTTCAGTGAGAAAGAAAAGCACATTGTACACAACACCCAAGCTTTGACATGACGGCACCCTCTGACATGCAGACATGACACTTATGCAGATGTTTGACATGACAGCACCCTCACACTGTTTGACATGGTTTGGCACCCTCTGACATGCACTTATGTACCATAGCGCGGAGAGGGAGGGAAGAGGCCCTGCACTTCTTCTCGACATTCAAGTGTTTGACATGACAGACATGACACTACCCTCTGACATGCAGACATGACACTTATGCAGGTGTTTGACATGGCGGCACCATCTGACATGATGCAGACATGACACTTATGTAGGTGTTTGACATAACATCACCATCTGACATGCAGACATGACATTTTTATACGTGTTTGACATGACAGCACCATCTGACATGCATACATGACACTTATGTAGGTGTTTGACATGACAGCACCCTCTGACATGCAGACATGACACTTATATAGGTGTTTGACATGACGGCACCCTCTGACATGCAGACATGACACTTATATAGGTGTTTGACATGACGGCACCCTCTGACATGCAGACATGACACTTATGCAGGTGTTTGACATGATGGCACCATCTGACATGCAGACATGACACTTATGCAGGTGTTTGACATGATGGCACCATCTGACATGCAGACATGACACTTATGCAGGTGCTTGACATGATGGCACCCTCTGACATGCAGACATGACACTTATGCAGGTGTTTGACATGACGGCACCATCTGACATGCAGACATGACACTTATGTAGGTGTTTGACATAACATCACCATCTGACATGCAGACATGACATTTCTATACGTGTTTGACATGACAGCACCATCTGACATGCAGACATGACACTTATGTAGGTGTTTGACATAACAGCACCATCTGACATGCAGACATGACACTTATCTAGGTGTTTGACATGACGGCACCATCTGACATGCAGACATGACACTTATATAGGTGTTTGACATGACGGCACCATCTGACATGCAGACATGACACTTATGCAGGTGTTTGACATGATGGCACCATCTGACATGCAGACATGACACTTATGCAGGTGCTTGACATGACGGCACCCTCTGACATGCAGACATGACACTTATGAAGGTATTTGACATGACGGCACCATCTGACATGCAGACATGACACTTATGTAGGTGTTTGACATGACGACACCCTCTGACATGCAGACATGACGCTTATGTAAGTGTTTGACATGACGGCACCATCTGACATGCAGACATGACACTTATGCAGATTTTTGACATGATGGCTCCATCTGACATGCAGACATGACACTTATGCAGGTGCTTGACATGATGGCACCCTCTGACATGCAGACATGACACTTATGCAGGTGTTTGACATGACGGCACCATCTGACATGCAGACATGACACTTATGTAGGTGTTTGACATAACATCACCATCTGACATGCAGACATGACACTTTTGACATGAATGTAATACTTAGTTCTGATGATTTTCAGGGAATCTCCCTCCCAGGAATACGAAAATGGCCTGGTTCAGGATATGCTGTCCATGCTTGGCTGTGTCTGGACGTGGAGTTTGACGTCACTCATCACAACCTCCCTGACAAGCACATCTATCGCAGACAACTCTACAAGTAAGTATGATTCAACTGTTACATACTGACTGCCAGAATACTGAGAACCCAATATAATTTACTGCCTCTGCCAGCCAGCATCATAACATCAGCATCTGTTCCTCCTTGTAGTTTCCCAAGCACAGGAGGTAACGGGTTTGAGGCGTTCTTCACTCCGGACGGTCTTCTGGTGGTGGCAGTATACAACAAGAAGGAGTACAGTAGCGTTCTTGTCCCAGAATGCCCTCTCAGAGATGGACAGTGGGTAGGTCAAACTTCCGCTCATAACCATGTCATACAAAAGCCATGTATATCTTCACATTTCCCCAACTTGAAGATCCACGTCAGATTACAATGCTAGGCCAGCTAGGCTTAGTGAACAGCTCTGTCTGGATCTAAAAGAAATTTTATTCTCATCAGGTCTGTGGTTCGAAACCCTCTTGCCTTAGTTACCAGGATACACTGGAAGATCTTATTCCAGATTTGGTAATAATGAGAACCTTACCTATGGCTATTGCTTTCTCCAAAGTGGTCTCTTAGGTTTTCCTCCTAAACTAAATGCATATGCCACATGCTATGTCTGAGCACCTTTCAAAAAGGAAACTCTTTCTGGTTTGTAACCATGCTGTGTATGGGGACACTGAGGTTTTGTACAAGACGGATCATTCTAACTGATGTCCTTCCAGCACTGTGTGGACATCGTGCACACCAGCTCAAGGCGGCCTTTCACCCAAAGTCAGCTTACAGTGTATATAGATGGCAAACAGAGGCTCAGCACACAACTCAAGTTCCCCAGCCTCTCAGAGGTAAGTAAAGGCACATTATGTTTATCCACTTTTCATTGTCTTGGGTGGATTGATGTAGAAAAGTATTGAAAAGGAAGTCTGAACAAGGTACTAAATACCAGAAGATAAAACACTTGTGTCTTTCAAATTTAGAGAAATGTACTGGGATCAAATCTACGTTTGAAACGTCTGAATTGAAACATGCACATACTTTATATCCATTCTACCACAACACAATGCCCATACAAACACAGATTCTACCACAACACAATGCCCATACAAACACAGATTCTACCACAACACAATGCCCATACAAACACAGATTCTACCACAACACAATGCCCATACAAACACAGATTCTACCACAACACAATGCCCATACAAACACAGATTCTACCACAACACAATGCCCATACAAACACAGATTCTTTCTTAGTGGCAGAAATTATTAGTGATATGGCATCAGTTACTACTCTTATAAGGTTGTAAGAGTTCTGTGATCAACAGAATTTCAATCTGTATTTAAATGTTTGCTTTAAGTATCCACACCATATTCTCTTGGAAACACTTGCATCACTTCAATGAGACTCATTAATGTCACCTAGCAGATGATGTAAGTGTAAATATAGTGTAAATATTTCTTTTGTGGTAGTGAAGTCCTCATCAAAATTGTTAAGTTCCATTGATTTGCTACCTCTGGTAGACTGTTCAGAATGCAAGATTCTAACATGTCATGGTAGGAAAATGCTTAGAGATGTCTGCAGTAATAGCAGTAAACGATTCAGAACAGTAGTACAAGTCAGATAGCCCACTGATTGTACAGCAGGTATGATTTCCCTCCTCAGTCTTTCACCCTTTCACACTCCTCTCTTCCACTCAGGATGAGAGTGCTTGGATCCATGGACAGATCGGATCTATCTGTGTGTTCCATGATGCACTACTGCAACCAGGACAAGTCCGTACTTTGTATTCTCAAGGTAAAAAGAGTCTTTGCTGATTTTAAGGATCCCCTGGACTACGCAGTACCATGGACATCCTCATGGACATGTCTCATACGGATGGACACTCCGGAGATCACAAGAAACAGTCAACACTCAAGTCTCTCTTCCAAAGTGCCACACGATCCAGTACACATCAGCCTGGCATTGACAGCATTCCTGGCGGCAAGCAGGATGAAGTTCTTGGACCTCCCATCTCCATCCATGGACAGATCGGATCTATCTGTGTGTTCCATGATGCACTACAACCAGGACAAGTCCGTACTTTGTATTCTCAAGGTAAAAAGCTTTGCTGATTTTCAGATGGCAATGTTTCTTTTGGCATTATTTGCTGTAACCATTAATTATTGGCTACCTGTCGCAGATAATGTGGTTTCTTGGACCAATATGGCAATGTCTATGAACTGCTAGGTAATGTCTGTCACATATGAACTGCTAGAGACTTTATCCATTTTACCTTTGACAATGTGTAACTCTGCTTATAGTTCACATTGAGCCTGATGTTTGACACTTTCCCAGTGAGATCCTGTCTCAGGTGACACCTTCAGTGACAATGTTGGTCCCTCTACCTGTGGGATCTTGTCTCAGGTGACACCTTCAGTGACAATGTTGGTCCCACCTTCAGTGACCCTCTCACCACCTGTGACAATGTTGGTCCCTCTACCTGTGGGATCCTGTTAATTTAGTATTTCTTGATGCACCATGTGTTGGTCAGTGAGGGACCAAACCATGAATATCTTCAGTGACATCCTCACAAAGCTTGTGGTTCACCTTCAAGGATTATAGATCCTTGTCGGGTGACACCTTCAGTGACAATGTTGGACCCTCTACCTGTGGGATCTGTCTGACACCTTCAGGGAGTGTTTCTTGATGCACCATGTGTAAGCACATGTTTTTTGCTACAGTATTTTACAGATGTTAAATTCTATCCTTCTTCTGTCATAGGACCAAACCATATGAATATCTTCAGTGAAGAACCGGAAGTTTCAGACCTCCTCACAAAGCTTGTGGTTCACTATAATGGGAAGGTAAGTACTTCAAGGATTATAGATTTTAGTCAGATAGTGTTTTAATGTTCTACAAAGCTTAGTACATTTTTGTAACGATTTTACTGTCAAGTACACGTGGTGAAGAAATTTATTGATTGACGAAATATGGGTTATGTTTCATTATTCTATAATGTCATCTCATTGTAGGCATGCAAAGAACATGTGTGTGTGGATCTGTCACCATATCAGAATCATGGCCATTTTACAGGGCAGAGATGTGTCACATGGGACATCAAGGTAATGTGTAGTTTGTGATGATCAGCCCTTGTATAAACTGACAAAGAATTCAGGTGAATTCATGTGTAAAAGATGGATGTAGCCTTTCAGTAACCAGCAATAATCTCTCAAGGGTAAGAGAATTTCTCAGTCTTTCACCACCTCATAATTAGATGCTTACATCATGGGGTTCCTGTGAGATGATGCCAACAGAGCTTTTGGTTTAAGTCAGTCACTCATGTTGTGACACATTGTGACACCTGAGCATCGACTCCTCAGAGAATCATGGCATCAGTAGTTCCAGTATGCATGCTGCTGTTGAGTGGAGTCACTGGACCAAACTGTGGATTATTTGGTCACAGTGGATACTGAGAATAAATACAAAGTGCCATATTGTTTTTCTGTACACAGGATGTGATCAACTGTATAGGGGGCATCCAGGTCCTGTTGCCCCTGCTGGAGCAGGTAGACAAGTCGTCTCCGTCACGCCAGGACAGCACAGACACCCTGTCTCCAGACAGCTCAGTCTCCGAGGAAACAGATGACTGGGTCATTGTGCCCAGTAGCTCCTATGCTGGTAATGCTTTTGTGGATAACTTTGTTTTATGTTGTAATGCTGTTGAGTTTTCCGCTTGAATGTAAATACTTTGTCTGCATGTCCATCTATCACATTTTATTTTCTACCAGTCATTTATCTAAGACGCACCTAGAACCAGTCTTTACAACGAGTCAAGTGTCAGATGTGGTTGAATTTATATAAATAAAGATTTGATGCAGGTTTTCAATCTGTATTGCACTGAAAATGTGTCAATTTGATGGCCCAGTGATATAAAGTGTCCCCCTCCCAATACAAATTTTTCAGGTATTGTAATGCTACATTAGCTTAAATTGTGTATCAGGATAATAGAGTTAACTGTCATTTTTTGGCCGTTCTGCTCTCAGACACAAAGCTGGAGCAGAACCAGGTTGCTGCCTTCCTGAACCTACTGCGGAACATGCTCCAGACGAAGATGATGAACCAGGACACCTTCATCAGAACCCATGGAGCAGCCACTGTGGGAGCTCTGCTGCAGAAGGTAAGCTGCCAGTGGTAGGACTCCTAATTATAACATAGGTACATGGTAATGGTCAGGGCTATATTATAACAATTACCTGTGTTTCCTTTTATGACAGTCTGGATTGTGTTGTTATGGCCAGGGTTGTATTATGTTGATGTGGGCTGTTATGATTGTCAGGGTTGTGTTGTGACAGCTTTGGTTGTTTTATAATGGCTTTGGTTGTGTTACAATGGTCAGAGTTGTGTTATGATGGCTGGGGCTGTGATATAATAACTTGGGTTGTGTTATGATTGTCTGGGTTGTGTTATGATTGTCAGGGTTGTGTTGTGACAGCCTGGGTTGTTTTATAATTGCTTTGGTTGTGTTATGATGGTCAGAGTTGTGTTATGATGGCTGGGGCTGTGATATAATAACTTGGGTTGTGTTATGATGGCTGGGGCTGTGATATAATAACTTGGGTTGTGTTATGATGGCTGGGGCTGTGATATAATAACTTGGGTTTTGTTATGATGGCTGGGGCTGTGATATAATCACTTTAGTTGTGTTATTTAGGTCAGGGTTGTGTTATGATGGCTTGTGATATAATAACTTGTTATGATGGCTGGGGCTGTGATATAATAACTAAATTGGGTTTGCTGTGATATAATAACTTGGGTTTTGTTATGATGGCTTGGGCTGTGATATAATCACTTTAGTTGTGTTATTTAGGTCAGGGTTGTGTTATGATGGCTGGGGCTGTGATATAATAAATTGGGTTGTGTTATGATGGTCAGGGTTGTGTTTTAACAACCTAGGTTGTGTGAAATTGTGTTTTGACTGTATTGGTTGTGTTCTGCCAGGTGGACCAGAAACTGGTGGATGTGAATGTCCTGATGGCTGTCCAGCTGCTGGTGGAGTCCTGTGCCTCATTCAACAAGACACTGCTGCAGCACCTCTACCAGCTTGTACTGTTCGACTTCCGTGTGTGGAGCAAGAGTGATTTCCCTGTCAGGATAGGTGAGGAGGCAGATAATTTTGGGGGTGGGAGGGATGATATCAAGTAGATGTACTTGCACAAAGTATGAATGGACCATTGTCTAGTTTCATGTCAATTTTCTTGTGTTTTTGAGGTACTGTATTGGTAATGATTGAATAACATTTTGCTACTATGTTAACTATCAGATTCCATAAGTCAGTCAACTGTACTGAGAATTTGTAGCAGCATATTTAAAAATGTGGTACATATTATTGCTACAGGCTCTGACAGATCGGTTCTCAGGCAAGAAGATCTTGACATTGTTAGATACTCTGAGTGTTTATGTGATTATGTGTTTTGTTAATGTGGGCATTCCCTTAAAACCAGAATATATTTCCCAGGTCACATTCAGTACCTGTCCACCATCATCAAGGATGACCGCAAGTACTTCAGGAAGAAGTATGGAGTGCAGTATATCCTGGACACCATCAGAACATACTACAGGTCAGACAGGCAATATCACACAGGCAATATCGCACAAGCAATGCCACAAAGGCAATATCCCACAAGCAATGCCACACAGGCAATATCACACAGGCAATGTCACAGGCAATATCACACAAGCAATGTCCTACAGGCAATGCCACACAGAAAATATCACACAGGCAATGCCACACAGGCAATATCACACATGCAATGTCACAGGCAATATCACACAGGCAATATCTCAAAGGCAATGTCACACACAGGCAATGTCACACACAATCAATGTCACACAGGCAATGTCACAGGCAATATCACAGGCAATGTCACAGGCAATGTCACAGGCAATATCACACAGGCAATATCACAGGAGGTCACAGGCAATCAGCATCAATATCACACAGGCAATATCACAGGCAATATCACATGTCACACACAGGCAATATCACACAGGCAATGTCACACAGGCAATATCACAGGAGTGTCACACAGGCAATGTCACAGCAATGTCACACAGGCAATATCACACAGGCAATATCACACAGGCAATATCACACAGGCAATTTCTACAAAGATCTCAGATCTAGGATATCCATCAAAAGTGTTGGGTATACACTGTTGACTGATATCGTCAGAAACTACTTTTATAAATGACACAAAACGAAGCCATCCGAGTCGACCATGCTACATGGGCTTTTCCTCCTTCCAGCTCCAGTCTGACCAGTGGTCTGTCGGAGGAAGACAGCAAGACCATCAGAGTGTCCCTCTTTAACCTCATCAAGTTCTACATCATCAAGGACATCACCGTGGAGGAGTTAGCACAGATGATCAGCTTCCTTACTGTGGTCATTTTCAGAGAGATCGCCCTTGGGGTATATATTATGCATTTTCCGCTGTAAAATGTCCTGTGACAGTTGTATCAATGTTTTTGAATAAAAAGATTGTACAATAAATAAACTCTTTTATTTATTATAATGGACCCTACCTCACGGAGTTACCTCCCCTTAGCGCATGCGCACTCAACTGGGTAGGCTCCTAGACCCGTGATCATCATTCCTTCTGCTGTCACGGCCCTGAACAGACGCTCGCTAGATTACCTTTCATGAGCCGCACGGGCTTGTATTTTAAGATGTCTGAGACACCACCTGTATGTTTGGTTTTTATTTGTCTAAAACAATAACAGTAAAGCCTTACAGTGGTTGTTTCCATAATTGTGACTTTGTATAAGTACTATCAAAATACGCAAACTTTCCCCGCGGTTTACGCAAGTTTGCTCTGCCATGGCGGAAGTTTAGCGCGTCGCTGGTCGCATTATTGGCGCTTTAAAACCAACTATTACTTTCCTCGCGGGTAACCTTCACGATTTTTCAATGTTTTCTACGCGGTTTCTCTGCTTCTGGCCACAAGTTAACTAACATGTTTACGCGGTTTGTTTCAGGCTTTTACCTGTTGTTCGGTCTGTGGGGAAGTATTCCCCGGCTGACAGTCACTCCCAATGCGGCCCTGTCTGGAGAAGACGGGCCATGTGGCTGATACATGTTCAATTTGTCTGGCCTTTTCCCCGGCACAGAAGAGGCGGGCGGCCGACACCCTGTTTTACCGCGAGATGCGGAGGCGGAGGGGACCTGACGCAGGTTCCCCGCCAAAATCTAAACGGGCGGCCCAAAAGGAAAAATCCCGCGGGCCTTCCCTCCTACCACTTCGAAAGTGGTTTTGACATGTCTCTAATGGAGTCGATGTTTCAGAAGCAGATGGACTCAATGAAGTCCTTCGCTCGGGAGTCGGGTTGGAGGTCTCCGCCAGGAGTTCCTCGCCCACTCCGACGGGGCGGAGAGTCCGGGTGGGATCGCCGCCTCGCTAGATCCTCAGCCTTGAGGCGCCTGTCGATCCGCTGCTCTGGCTTCGGGTCCGACGCCTCGGGCTGCTCCGAGAGGGAGGTGCTCCCAGTCCCTCTCGAGCTTGCGCTTTGGGCCGCTGAGTATTCCTGGTATTCCGTCCCCTGGCGCGCACACCCGCCCCCATGAGAGCCGGAGGCACCAGTTCTGCCTGGCCTGCCTCCAGCGCCTCGGGACCGGGTCCACGCGCCGCCGGGCTGGCGCTGACGGGAGCAGTCGGTCTGTTCCTCCCTTCCTGTGGTGCCCAGCGCCAGGCAGTCCACCGGGTCGGGTTAGGGTCCTCTTACGGAGGAGACCCAGCCTCTGACTCGGCTCGGACGCCGAGGCAATGGAGCTCGGGAGGTCGAGGAGCATGACGGCAGCTTCCGCTTTGCTTCGCCTTGGCGGGAGGTCCGCAGAGAATTGCCGAGGGCCTACCCCAGGCCGCGTGCCTGCTGGTAGCGGGACTCGACTGAGTTCCGCTTTGCCTGGCGAGGCGCTTGCCCCTAGGCAACCCTCACAGACGCAGCCCGCGATTCTGCCATCGCTGGTCGCGCTGACGGGTCGATCCCTCTTGTCTGGTACCCGAGTCAGGTTTGACTTACCTGAACTCGCGGCGGGCGCTACCAGCTTGGGGAGGATTCCCTGTTCGCCGTGACCGATCGCTGACGAAAGTGTGTTTTCACTTCCGCCGCCTCTGGGGAGGCTCGCTTCCTCCGAGCAGCCCGCTGCTCGGCAAGGGCCACTCCACCTTTTGCCCTCGCTGGCGCTTCGCGCATCACGCTGCATCGACCTACGAGGAGGTCTACCGAACGCTGGCGCAGCAGGTGCGGGTGGTGGTCCATGAGGCCTACCTCTCCTCGATACAGAGGTCGGCCCTGGAGGCGGAGGGGCATGCTGGCGACGCGGTCGCCGCGATGTCGCTACAATCCGGCCAGCTGTCGGAAGTTCAGGCTCACTCGCCACTCTTTGGCGGTCTGCTGCGCCGACGGTGATGTGCGCAGTCATGGGGATGCGCAGGCTGTGGCTGTCGACGCCCAGGTACTCGCAGCAGCAACACAGCAGACCTTGCTGGCTCTCCCTTTCCGCCTGGGAGCCACCCTCTTTCCCGGGCACAGCAGGTCATACGGGAGGCTGCCGCTGCAGCTACCTCCTTCAAGGATTCTAAGGCCTTGTTGAGCACCCGCTGGGTGTCTCGCCTCCCGCTGCCCCCGCCACCTTCCTCCTCCGCCGGGTGCAGCCTACACCCGAAGTCTGCCGGGCTGGCTTCGCCGCTGGTAGGTAGGGCGGAGGAGTAGGTCCGCCAAGGGTAGGGGCAAGGAGCAGTCCTCGACTAGCTCCCCAGCCTGCTGGCGCTGGAGGTCTGCCCCACCTCCCGCTAACCCAACAGGCTGCCGCCAAGCCGCGGTGTCACACCCAGTCAGCTCCGCTTACTAGGGTCCACGCGACGCCAGCTTCCTACCCCATATCCTAGTGGGAGGTCGCTTCTCTTTCCTGCCGGAATGGGAGAAGGCTACCAACAACGCTTTGGGTGCTGGCCACGGTCAGCATAGGCCATCTCCCACTGTGGAAGCGGCAGGTCCGCCTCGACTTCACCGCATACGACGCACTCTCGTGCCGCCATGCCAAGCCAGGGCGACATATTGCGCCGACGGTTCAGGCTCTGCTGGACAAGTCCGCAATCGAAGCGCATTCCACCGGGAGAGGAACAGGCGGGATTTTACTCCACGCATTTCCTCGCCCGGCGAAAGACGGCGGGTTCCGGCCCGATTCTCAACCTCAAGGGGTTGAATCGCATGCTCGGCACCATCCTTCAAGATGGAGACACTGGCGCCGGTGATCTCATCTGTTCAGCCCGGGCGATTGGCTCACGCCAATCGACCTAAAGGATGCGATTTCAGATACCCATACATCCCTCGCTCAAGCAGTACCTCCGGGTCTCTTACGACGGGATGTATTACCAATTCAGGGTGCTCCCTTCGCATATCGACTGCCCCAAGGGTGTTCACCAAGCTCATGTTAGTCCCAGCTACCCTAGCTCGCCGCAAGGAAGGCGCTTGTTACCCTTACCTAGACGACTGGTTGCTCGAGCACTAACACAGCCAGCGAAGTCAAGATGCTACTCACACAGTGATAGACATTCTAACTCGACTGGGGTGGATCATCAACCTCAAGAAATCCGACCTGGTACCCACCCAGGACTTGGTTTTTCTTGGAGCGATTCCAAACGTAACAAGGATCTCGCTTCCTTGTCGCCTCGACCGGGTCACCAGAGTTCGAGATGGTATCTTCATTCCTCTCCCAGCCCCAGGCACCAGCACGGACTTGGCTCCGCCTACTGGGCCATATGGCGCTTAATTTATCTCTGTAGTGTGGCGGGCGCTGTTGAGGATGCGCCCCATACAGCAAGCTTTGGCTCGGCTGTGGACTCACACGGAGGATCTGGAGCGCAGTCTCACAGTCCCCGAAAGTGGTTGACACCTCACCTTCAGTGGTGGACAAATGTCGGAATCTCACCAGGGGTTCCCTTGGAAATCCCGACGCCAGCTCTCACAGTTCAGACAGATGCGCCCCTCACGGGCTGGGGGCGTTTGGCAGTCTGTCGGCTTCCGACTCTGGTCCGGGCCGGGCTCACCTTCACATCAACGTTGGAGCTGAGAGCTGTGCGGTTGGTATTCGAAAGCGCTTCAGAGAGCATGTCCGCGGGCCAGGTAGTCCGCCTTCAGTTAGACAACCAGACGGCCATGTCGCATATCCTGAAGCAGGGAGGCACGGTGTCCCCAGCGCCCCGGAAGCGTGGACTTTCTCCTCTGGAGCCACCAGTACGCATTGTCAGGTACTCCCTGTTTATCTCCCCGGGCTGGAGAACGGCGCGCAGCAGATGCGCCTCGCCGATCCTGGCCCCGCGACGAAGTGGATGCTCGACAGGCAGATATTCACAGTAATCTCCCAGTTGTACGGTCGCTCGAGGTGGATCTGTTTGCGCCCGGGCGGACGATCAGACACCCGCGTTCTGCTCTCGGATACCGACCAGAGGGCGCTGGCTGCCGACGCCTTCCTGCTGGATTGACGGGCAAAGTGCTCTGGGCGCCCCCGCCGCTACCACTCATTCCCCGCGGTCCTTTCACAGCTGTCCACCCAGCCAGCTCGGCTACTTGTGCTACTGGCACCGCTTTGGCCGCCACAGAGCTGGTTTCCGTAATTCTCAGGTTTCTGGCTCAGCCTCCTGTTCTATTACCTTTGGCGACCGACATTCTCACTCAGAACGGAGCTTCCACCCAAATCCACGGATTCAGTGGGTGGCTTGGCCTCTGTCAGGTCTAACCTCGAGGCACGCTGGAATTCCTGCAGCAGTTGCAGACACAATTCTGGCTTCGAGGCGGATTCGGCAAACGCTCAGTATGAGGATAGGTGGTCCCGCTTATGCGCGCTGGTGTTCAGATAGGGCATTGCAGATCCCTTTTCTGGGCGGATTTAGTCCGAGTATTGGAGTTTTGCAAGCTCGCTTGGAAGAAGGCCTGGCGGCTTCACCATTCGTGGCTACTCCACCGCTATTTCCACTTTTCACACCCCCGTCGATGGTGCTCTTCTGGGGCAGCACCTCTCGCATAGCTTAGCTGGCGCTGAACGGATTCGACCTGCTCTCAGGCTTAACCAGTCCACCTTTGGGATTTGTCGATCGCGGCTCGATTGGCTGTCCGTCCCACTTTCTCACACCTATCGGCTATTTCCATTCAGTTGTTGACCTGGAAAGCTGTGTTTCTGGTGGCGTAACATCTGGTCAAGAGTCGGCGATATACATGCTATGTCGTCCGACCCGGGCGCTGACTGTGTTTCACACGGATCGTGGTCAGCATTCGGCCCCCAGATACTTACCGAATCGGGTCGATCACGCTTCCATGTGACAGCTCCTATCGAACTTCCTACTCTTACCCAGCCTTCCACATCGGGACCACTCCTACGAGCACTCACCCGCTGGATGTCCGTGAAGACGCCAAAGTCTATATCAAACTAACGCAGGGGATCCGTGACGGGTACCCAGCTGTTCTGTTGTTACGGTGGCGGGAAGGCTGGTCTGCCAGCGCAGCAAGCAAACTTTGTCTCGCTGGCTTGTTTCGTATTTGTGCCGCTTTATCAGGCTAAGGGCAAGCCTCCCCTGAGGGGTTGAAGGCTCACTCGGTCAGGCAGTAGCCGCATCAAAGTTTTGCAGCGCACTCCCATTGAAGAGATCTGCTCTGCCGCCATTTGGAGCCGCCAAGCACTTTTATACGCCATTATCAGCTCGATACACATTCACGCAATCGCGGCGAGCTTTGGTCGCATCGCTTTTCCAGTGGACAGTGTCCTGCCACCCTGACCAAGTGAGTCTTGGTTTATTGGTTTGTGTTGACGCTTACTGTACAATGATTCCATTATTGACATGTCTGCTACGAAAGCACTCAGAGAACCTGTACCCCTTCGATTCTCTAAGGAGTTACGATATCGCTAGTGAGTGGTATTTTGTTTTCCCCACGGTGCTCTCACCTAAGAAGCCACTTAGTGGGTCGGATTTCACTGACATTCGCACTACGCAATGTCTCATTATGCTAGAGGTCGCCTTTGAGCACAAATCCTCCCTGTCAGTTCCTCCCATAATGCCTCTCGCGGAAGCTTAAACTGGGTCGAAAGTGACAGGTGAGTGTTATGGCGCCTGTTCAATTTTTTTCCATGATACGATCGCTATATTTTGTGTGTGCTTGGACAGAATTCCTCCTCCCTGGCCTCCGGGTCTTTGGGAGTCTGTGTTTATGCATAATATGTACCCCAAGGACGATCTCTGAAAAGAATTTTCCAAACCTGCAGAGGTTTTCAATTCTTTGAAGAGAGTCGCCCTGGGGTAGGGCCCACCCACCTCCCCGCAATTCTGTTCACTGATGAGAATTCAGCAGAAGGAATGATGATACGGGTCTAGGAGCCTACCCAGTTGGTGCGCATGCTTAAGGGAGGTAACTCCGCGAGGTAGGGTCCGTGATAATAAATAAAAGAGTTTATTTATTGTACAATCTTTTATTCAAAAACATTGATACAACTGTCACAGGACATTTTACAGCCGGAAAATGCATAATATGTACCCCAAGGACGACTCTCTTCAAAGAATTGAAAACCTCTGCAGGTTTGGAAAAATTTCACGATCAGCTCTACCTGCTGCTGTTTGAGCCTGAGATGGCTGAGATGCTATACGTCCTGCTAACTTACAAAAACTACTCTGTCATATACTACGAGAAAATTGTCAAGGTACAAGTTCTGTTAATCATAAAATGCCATTGTATGACTTTTCAGCAAAACGACACATTGACAGTTCATTTTCATGTTTTCAGTACATTTGACGTACAAGCTGGACCTAAGAGTATCTATCGTGACAGACTGAACCTTTCAGTGTCTTGCTGTGTTGAATATTTTTATTTCCTTCAGTGTTGTATAAGTATTTGGACAGATATCAAACTGATATACCCCACTGCTTGTACCCTTAGGAACTTTATCAAGTATCACAGAATCATATCTTCTCTGTAGGTTTTGCACATCCTTCTAAAGTCAGACAGAGTATATGAGAAATCCAAACAGCGGCTTCGTCTGTCTGACTGTGGCCACCTTGGACTGATATCTCTCATGCAGGGCTATGATCTCTCTGTCCCCATGATCAGGAGATTCGTGGAGCAGGTGTCATTTGTCGGTGAGTGTTTCGTCAAAGCTGGTCTTGCAATACTGGATATTAGAGGCTGCTTGTCAATCTTCCTTTTAGGCAAATATTAACTGTATTTAGTTTCTGGAAGAGAATTAGTTTGAAAAAAAAACATGCATGTGGCAAGGGTCAGTTTGCCACATTGTGCGATCTATGGATAGACTAGACTATTCACAGGAAGAAGACCTATGAATATCCTAGAACTGATCTTCAGCAACCCAAATGCATAGATTGATGCTCATGATGTCAATCACTAAATTGTCAGAACAAACAAATTGACTGGCCTGAAGGTGGTGTAATAAAGCATGCACTCACACCTCATGAACATGAGATTGATAAATCATCCCAGTTGTAAAGCGCAGTTGTAACAGCTAAATGCAAAATACATTGCTACCTGATCCTGATAAATAATTCTGTTAATGACAATGAGATGAACTGATCATGCAGATTTGACATTACAGTGGAAGCCCTCTAAACCGGCACTCATTGGGACCGGCACAAAATGCCGGTATAGAGGGCGTGCTGGTTTAGAGAGCAGTTTATCATCATAAATTAGCGTCTACCGGGGACCAAATTCTAGTGCCGATATTGAGAGCATGCCGGATTGGAGGGCTGCTAGTTTAGAGGGTTTCCACTGTACGTTTTGCTTTTTGCCCTATAACACTTAATCACTCCTGTGTGCCATATTTCAGAGACGAGCCAGACTTACAATGCTATCCTGTCCATCCTGACCCTTATCCACAACAGTGGGCTGGACATCAGGCTGGAGGCCAGTAGACAGGTCAGTGGTTGTCACTCTCAACACCTTGCTTTATTAGAGTGGACAAAATGTCGACAATTATAGATGACTACATGAGCATAATATTTCCCTTCACAGATGGGCATGACTGTTCCAAACTGCTAAAGTTTTTAGAAATTTGTTTCCTAACCTCTTAATATTCTTAGCAGCTAAAGGTGATGAAGTCAAAACTGCCTGTGCAGTTAGACTGCATTATCATTTCACTTGAAACGATTCAAACCATACTGCCTGTTAGAATCTGGAAGGTTTCATGTCAACATGGTTTAAATTTTGAGAAATTGATATTCTGAGCAGCAAAATATGATGAAGGCAAAGCTGCTTGTGCAATTAGACTTCATTTCCTGCTGCCTGGGGTGCATTCAAACCGTACTACCTGTTAGAAACTGGAAAGTTTCATGATAACAATTACATACACAAATCAGTCAGTTTCAACAAGACCTGAAAGTATGCTGGTAGGAATGCAAGTCCATATATAATGACATATTTGAAGTAAATAAAATGAAAATCAGCTTTACATTTCAGTGCTGGTACACAAGGCTAATTCTTGAATCTTTGTCATTCCAGCTTCTATCAATTCTTGTGTCAAAGCCTGGGGCAGCTAAGGGATTTGCAAAACAACTGTGTTGGCAGGACACCATTGCTAAACTATTGATTCAGGAGCCATTGACAGGAAACAGTGGGAGCGCCTCACAGATGGTCAACCCTGTTCTCCAGGTGTCTGAGACCAGAGAGGAGGCTCTAGGCGGTGCTGCAAACAGCAACTTCATGAATGGCGACTTAACCCAAAGACGTCGTTCTAGTCAGATTAAGGAGGGTGCCCTTCGACCAGATGCTTTGGACATTTCTAACAACAGTGGATATTCTGAGCAAGGAAGTTCCCGAACCCCAATGACTCCTTTGTTTATCCAATCACAGCGTTTTGACGATTTGAATATGTCCGAGGAGGAAAGGTCAAGGTCAATGAGTCGGAGTTCAAGTACAAGTGTAGAAGATTTAAGTGCTATTGGACAACGTGCAGCAGATTGCAAAGATTCTTTGTCTCAGAGTCAAAGCAGCATGTCTCTTAGTGAGAGTATATCAGACCTCGCAATGGAGCTTGGAAATGATTCTCGGAGAGCATCTGTTGCTCAGGCAGAGAATTTTCAGCGTGCCCTGGATAATCTTGGTATACAGAAGATCTTTGTGCGGGATACAGTGGAGCAGACCGAGGAACTGTGCCAGAACGTACTCATAATCCTGCTCACCGTCATGTGGAAGGGGATCGATGGATCAGACAAAAATGTCTGGAGGGTGAGCCTGGCTTTTTCTTCACTGAAGTAGTGATTAGGTGCAGTGCCCATGTATGTGAATATTTGTTTGAAGTATAGCCTGCTGCAAATCAGGAGGAGCAAGGCAAACATGTTATGGTGTCAGACCAACCCATCATTTGTCAGGATTTCTGACATCATTTAGCATTAACACTTTCACAAAAGTGCATTCAACATGTTTGTGAAAAAATCACTTAATTTAACTTTGACCTATATCTGTTAACGGATAACAATTGAAAGACAAGGAATGTATTTAGTTTTGATGAGTTTTCTTTTCACTTGCTGTGCTGTCATTTTCATCACATCGATGTTGCACTATGAGAACAAATTTGTATTTGTTGGTCAACAGATATAACATTCCAGAGTCAAAGGCCACAATCAGAAGTTGAAACAAGAAACAGTCTGAATGTATATGTATTTGCCTGACATGCCCATTTGTATGAAGGAATACATACTTCATTGAAGTAACTGCAAACCTTTTAAAATATCCATGCTTCAAATGTATTTATGCTGAATCACATATAGAAATGTTAGCATGTATTTATCCCAGGATTAGTCCTGTGCTGTGATGAATGTACATCACATTGTCTGTTTGTAGGATCGGGGTGAGGTGTTTGCCTGTATAGACCACATCTGTGATACTCACATTCTAGTCCGTCCAAAACATGAGCTGAAGAGGCGTCTACTGGAGATGATGCTACACTCATGTACCTCTGACATCAAGGATACGGGTAAGGTATTACACTGTGTTACCTTCCATGTAGGTCTGAAATCAAGGATACGGGTAAGGTATTACACTGTGTTACCTTCCATGTAGGTCTGAAATCAAGGATATGGCTAGGGTATTACACTGTGTTATCCCTTTCCATGATCCCTATTAAATCAAGGATACAGCTAGGGTATTACACTGTGTTATCTCCCATGTCCCGCTGAAATCAAGGATACAGCTAGGGTATTACACTATGTTATCCCATGTCCCGCTGAAATCAAGGATACAGCTAGGGTATTACACTGTGTTATCTCCATGTACTGCTGAAATCAAGGATACAGCTAGGTATTACACTATGTTATCCCATGTGCCGCTGAAATCAAGGATACAGTTAGATATTACACTGTATTATCCCATGTCTGAAATCAAGGATACACTGTGTTATCCAAGGATACAGCTATGGTATTACACTGTGTTATCCCATGTCCCACTGAAATCAAGGATACAGCTATGATATTACACTATGTTATCCCATGTCCCGCTGAAATCAAGGATACAGCTATGATATTACACTATGTTATCCCATGTCCCCTGAAATCAAGGATACAGCTAGGGTATTACACTGTGTTATCCCATGTCCTGCTGAAATCAAGGATACAGTTAGGGTATTACACTATGTTATCCCATGTCCTGCTGAAATCAAGGATACAGCTAGGGTATTACACTGTGTTATCTCCCATGTACTGCTGAAATCAAGGATACAGCTAGGGTATTACACTGTGTTATCTCCCATGTACTGCTGAAATCAAGGATACAGCTAGGGTATTACACTATGTTATCCCATGTTCCGCTGAAATCAAGGATACAGCTAGGGTATTACACTATGTTATCCCATGTCCCGCTGAAATCAAGGATACAGGATACAGCTAGGGTATTACACTATGTTATCCCATGTGTCCGCTGAAATCAAGGATACAGTTAGGGTATTACACTATGTTATCCCATGTCCCGCTGAAATCAAGGATACAGCTATGGTATTACACTATGTTATCCCATGTCCCGCTGAAATCAAGGATACAGCTATGATATTACACTATGTTATCCCATGTCCCGCTGAAATCAAGGATACAGCTAGGGTATTACACTGTGTTATCTCCCATGTCCTGCTGAAATCAAGGATACAGTTAGGGTATTACACTATGTTATCCCATGTCCCGCTGCAATCAAGGATACAGCTAGGGTATTACACTGTGTTATCTCCCATGTACTGCTGAAATCAAGGATACAACTAGGGTATTACACTGTGTTATCTCCCATGTACTGCTGAAATCAAGGATACAGTTAGGGTATTACACTATGTTATCAGCTAGGGTATTACATGTCCCCATGCTGAAATCAAGGATACATCTAGGGTATTACACTGTGTTATCTCCCATGTACTGCTGAAATCAAGGATACAGCTAGGGTATTACACTGTGTTATCTCATGTCCCGCTGAAATCAAGGATACAGCTAGGGTATTACACTGTGTTATCTCCCATGTACTGCTGAAATCAAGGATACAGCTAGGGTATTACACTGTGTTATCTCCCATGTACTGCTGAAATCAAGGATACAGTTAGGGTATTACACTGTGTTATCTCCCATGTCCCGCTGAAATCAAGGATACAGCTAGGGTATTACACTATGTTATCTCATGTCCCGCTGAAATCAAGGATACAACTAGGGTATTACACTGTGTTATCTCCCATGTACTGCTGAAATCAAGGATACAGCTAGGGTATTACACTGTGTTATCTCATGTCCCGCTGAAGTCAAGGATACAGCTAGGGTATTACACTGTGTTATCCCATGTCCTGCTGAAATCAAGGATACAGCTAGGGTATTACACTATGTTATCTCATGTATCAGTATAATGGGAATATAGTAAACACAGACATTATAAGGACTGAATTTAGTAGCTTATGTTTATCTATCACCACAGCAACAGTATTGTTTCATCATGCCCACCAGTTGCCTATCATTAAGAGAGGCACAATTCTTGAACAGTCTTTCATTGATAATATGATATGTTATATATTTCTGTTATGTATAAGAGCTGTTCATACTTTGTATTGTCCAGGTCAACCGATAGCCGTCCACACAGAAAATGCCATTGAGTTGGTGAGGATTGTGCGCAATTTTGTGACTGACGACAGCTGTGATAATGAAGTTAAATACAGTGAGAGGGTGAGTTGTTTAGACGGGTAGAGATTATGCAACTAAATAAACTCCATCTGGTGCACAATCTGGGTAGTATTACAATACTATTGAAAGTCCAGAATCACCCTGATAATGATCAATAGTTTGTCGACTTTCATTACCTGGACTGGAGGCTAGAACTTGTTCAGAGCTGATGTGTTTAGTTATATCAATTTGTCAACAGTATGTGGTGTTTGTAGCTGTTGGAGGAGGTGTGTCTGAATATAATGCTGACAGTATGCTATTAGTGTAGTGTTGACAGTATGCTTTGAGTCCAGTGTTGACAACTTGCAGTTGTCTAGCATTGACAATATAAGTTGTATGCTTCTTTCGAGGGTAATACAGTCTGATGTACGCCTTTTTGTAGCAGTGTTACCCGAGCGGGTAGGGATGACACTGCTACAAAAAGGCGTACATCAGACCGTATTACCTGAGGGAGAAGTTAACAACATATTTATCCTACCGCCATGTTAGATGTACAAATTATCTTTTTATTTTATTTTGAAGATCGATAAGCTTGCTACCGACTATATGACATATAAACAAAATGGTGTCTGCCTCTCAACTGGATTTTTAAAATCAGTGAAACATATTCTGGCCAGCTTAAAACTGCTATAAAAATGGTAAATTATGTTTAAGTTGAGTCTGCAAACGATTCATTGTATAAAATAGTTTCAATAAAGCAGTGAAAGGTGGTAAAATAAATGTGTACATATTGAACTCAAAAACAGCTAATTGAACGGTTTTCAAACTCCATGCACTGCATGCGTCATATTATGACGTTATATGATTGTTAGCGATGCAGCTTCTCGGCCAGAGAGTTTGGCCGTTACAGTGGCAGTGGGTAATATTTTTTGCAGTGGGTGATATCATTTGCACGGAAACTTGTTAAAGCGTTATTGACCAATGAAATAAAAGCTTTTCACGTGAAGGTAAGATAATTTGTTATGTATCCCATGCTGACATTATGTTGTGTATATTCTGTGTTTCAGCTCCTGGAGGATGTGATGTCACTCCTGGACACCCTGGGTGTATGGGAGGTGGAGACCGGCCTGGGCTGGAAGGAGATGGTTCATCTGGGTCTCAGCATACTTCTGGCTTTTGCCAAGCACCCTAACCTGGATGTGAGTAGACCCTGTACTAGGCAGAACTACACTTACCACACAACCATTGTCAACACGTATTTTTCAGTTGAGAACTTTCAGTTGACTTTGCACATTATGCTCGGGACATGGTGGCCCACTCATCTAAGTCACTGCGGTTAGATGTAAATAGTTTCTTCCTTCAGGCATACAAGAGACCTATGATTGTATAACTGATTCCCAGATTTGCCTTGTCATGTTTCTTGTTTGTCAGCATTTGCTTGTTTCACCGTGCAGTCTAAAATCTGCATTGCTTAGGCTTTTTTCATATTCTTTCTGATATGAAGTAAACAATTCCAGATGCCTAGGAATGTATTTGTGATTTGAAATAATAAGGGTTCCCCCTGAAACAATTCAGTTGCCAGCAAAAATTGTTTGACACAAGGAATACCAAGAGAGTAGTTATGTCTCCCCCCCCGAAGGGTCGGGAGACATATTGTTTTTGGTTGAGTTTCCATGGGCGTCAGCATTCCCACTGTTTCCAGAACATAACGCTAAAACTACTTAAACAATCTTCACCAAATTTAGTGTACTGCCTCTCCATTTCATATAGATGTGCCTTTTGGGGTTTGAGTTTTTTTCAATTTTATCTATATTCTGTTTTCATGGCAACAATTTGGACTTTTGTCTTTTTGAAGGGTAAAATTTGTTTCCGGAGCAAAATTCTGAAACTAATTGACCCACCTTCATCAAATTTGCTATGTTGCCCCTCCATATCACGTAGATATGCCTTTAAGGGGTTTGAGTGGTTTTTTTTCAATTTTATTTTTTTCTGTTTTCATGGCAACAATTTGGACTTGGTCTTTTTGAAGGTAGAGATTTTGAAATTGAAGGAATCAAATGAATTGCTTGAGGTCTCAACATTGAATTGGGGAAAGGGGGAGACATCTGTTTTTACGAGAAAAAACACTTTCTAGTTTCAGCAAGGTAGTTGATACTATGGTTTGCTCTGTATTCAAGATTCAACTCAGAAATGGATGGATTTTGATTGGACTAAATCGTTTGGAATGAAGTTATTTTATTCTTCTAATCTTCAGAGCAAAGTTGTAAGTCTGTAACAGGTATATGCAGCTTGAATTTCATGACATGTACTTCTTCCCACTGTAGATGTGTGCAGTGGCCACAGCTAGACTTCATGCTTTGGTGCAGACCAAGCTCATCAGCAGCTCAGCTGAGGCCTCTTATATCATTGGCACTTTGAACTCTATCATCATCGGAGCTGTGGATGGTAGGTTTTTTCTTTCTTCATTTCCACTTCTTTTTTTTTCTACAGACAGTGATATTTGTTAATGAGCAGAAGCTTACAAAGCTTTGAAAGAAATATCTGTATATTGTCATTACACATTTATGTCATTTGGCACACAAAAATTAGAAGACTAAACTGAAGTTACCTAATGTTTCTCAAATGGTAGTCATCAAGCAATATCTCAAGCTGTGGTTATAAACGATATCTAAACCCGAAGTCTTGAAGAAATATCTCAGACCTTTCTTATGAAGCACCTTGGTCTTGAATGACTCAAATCTAGATTATGAAGCAGTATCTCAAACTTGGGTCCTCAGGAACTCCAATCATTACTGGATTCCTAAAGATAACTTAAGAAACGTTTTTACATGAGTCTGACAAAATATGAAATCTTTTCAATGTGAAAATGGTATCTGTTTCCTGTACTTCGACCTCTGCATCACATTCATGTTTCGTGTGTTTAGAGAACACAGACAACTACTCGTTCCTAGTGCCGGTACTGAAGGCCCTTGTGGACAAGGCCCACACACTCCTGAATATTGAAGTGAACCTCCCCAACCTGCCTCAGACCACCATGAGTCCCACCTTCTTTGACGACTTCCGTTCCTACTGCCACACCGAGGAGTGGAAGACGTTTGTCACAAACTATGTGAGTTGTGGTAAACAGTGCATCATTCTCCATAAGAAGACCAATGTTTAGTGGTTTAATGGATGCAGCTGCATTAAATCATGCGAAAGTTCCACAAAGAAATTTGCTGTGCGAATGGGCCTTGAAATCTAACCTCTACCTGTTTGAATGCTGGTTTTCTTAGCTTTCAGTCAAGATATTTAGATCGTGCTGAAGGAAAAGAAACAGTAAAAGATCTTCGAGATAATGTCCCCAGTTTATTGCTACATTCACTAAAGATGCCTGGATTGATTTCTTGTTTGTAATTTCTTGACCATCTTTCAGACACATTTAAGTATATTTTTGTTCTTTTTTAATTCTTAGAAAATCAATGAAAACAAAATTATGACTGTCCTGACAATGATTTCTGTTAGATTTACTTCAAAAGTAAAGTTCACTGATGACGAGACAGTGACCTACAGACTCGAGGTTCACGATTGTTGTAACTCCCAAACTACAACATTTGCCACATCTCTAAGGTTATTGCTGAACAAGGCACCAGGTATTGCTACACAATTATTTTTCCTGAAACTAGATGGAACAGGTGTTATGTGATTGAGCAACTGGTCAAAGAGTTTTCTGCCTTCATGGTGAATCATATTGTTTTCAAGAAACCGTTTTAAAGATGTAGTTCTTTTGGTTTCAGATCTATCCACAAAGACATCATTTTGTTGAGTCCAGCTTCAGCGAGTCTCACACCGCTACAAATGGCTTCTGGCGAGAATGCCATGAAAACATGATGCTCAACATGCACAAGAGGAACAGAGACATTGGTGACAGCAAGCTCAAATTCCAGGTATGATTGGTCTCTACTGCAGTAGATCATCTTTGTTGATGCTTACTCAAAATATACTCCTCCTCCTCCTCTTCATCCCTCCTCTTCATCCTCCCTCCTCTTCCTCCCTCCTCCTCCCTCCTCCTCCTCCTCCCTCCTCCTCTTCCAGCCTCCTCACTTAACTTTTTTGGGTGTAAAGGATCTAGGGCTAATAATGATGATTAGTTATTGGTCCCAGCTACTTTTGCTGATGGTAAGGGCTGACTTTATGGATGAGGTGGCCAGGCTTTGTCACATGGTTGATTGCATTGCATCAGGACCCAACAGCATTGATAGTCATATCAGTCACTGGATGGTCTAGTGTCATCATGATGTACTTCCCAGTACAACATCCTTCTCATGTAAGTCACATCCTTCTCATGTAACTTTGTTATTTGCACATCTTTTGTTCAGGTGTAAGATGTTGTTGTTTTCCTTCCAGGCACAAGTGTTAGACCCTTTCAAAACTAAGTCATCCCAGGAATACCGCCGATATCAAAATGTCTCAACACAGCTGAGAAATCAGCATCTCTCTACCTTGCGGAAATGGCGGGCCAACAAGAGATTCTTCACCGGGGAGCGAGGAAGCTGGCATCTGAGGTTTGTTGTCTAACATGATACAGACACATCAGTCATGATATGAAACAATATCAGTAAATACAGTTACAACACACTGTCATCTCCATCTGTCAGTATATAAACTTATACTATTTGGTTGTCACCATCATTCAGTAAATACAGTTACAACACTGTCATCTCCATCTGTCAGTATATACACTTATACCATATTTTGTCACCATCATTCAGTAAATACAGTTACAACACTGTCATCTCCATCTGTCAGTAAATACAGTTACAACACTGTCATCGCCATCTGTCAGTAAATACAGTTACAACACTGTCATCTCCATCTGTCAGGAATGAACATGATGTCCACTGGAAACTGTCAAACCAAGAGAACTTCATGCGGATGAAGGTGAAGGTCATTCAGAACTACAACTTTGAACCTCACACCGAGGCCAGCAGACAACGGGACAACTTGGGTAAGTACATGGCACATCTTATATCTGTATGTCATATGTTGAGCACTGTCCATAACTTGTGTCATACCTGTGTGTCATACACACTGAACAATGTATATAACTTGTGTCATATCTGTATGTCATACACACTGTACATAACTTGTGTCATATCTGTGTCATACACACTGTACATAACTTGTGTCATGTCTGTTTGTCATAGACACTGTATGTAATTTGTGTCATGTCTGTATGTCATACACATTGAACAATGTATATAACTTCTGTCATATCTGTATGTCATTCACACTGTACTTAACTTGTGTCATATCTGTATGTCCTACACACTATGTAACATGTCATATCTGTATGTCATACACACTGTATGTAACATGTCATGTCTGTATGTCATACACACTGTACATAACTTGTGTCATAATTTATGTCAAACACACTGTGTGTAACTTGTGTCATATCTTTGTCATACACACTGTGTGTAACTTGTGTCATATCATTGTCATACACACTGTAACTTGTCATGTCTGTCATACACACTGTACCTAACTTGTGTCATATCTTTGTCATACGCACTGTATATAACTTGGCATGTCTGTCATACACACTGTATGTAACTTGTCATGTCTGTCATACACACTGTATGTAACTCGTCATGTCTGTCATACACACTGTATGTAACATGTGTCATATCTGTATGTCATACACACTGTAACTTGTGTCACATCTTTGTCATACACACTGTAACTTGTGTCATATCTTTGTCATACACACTGTATGTAACTTGTCATGTCTGTCATACACACTGTATATAACATGTCATGTCTGTATGTCATACACACTTTACATAACTTGTGTCATGTCTGTATGTCATACACACTATGTAACTTGTGTCATGTCTGTCATACACACTGTGTGTAACTTGTGTCATATCTGTATGTCATACACACTGTACATAACTTGTCATATATGTATGTCATGCACACTGTACATAACTTGTGGCATATCTGTATGTCATACACACATTACATAACTTGTGTCATATCTGTATGTCATACACACTGTCCATAACTTGTCATATCTGTATGTCATACATGTCCATAACTTGTGTCATATCTGTATGTCATACACACTGTCCATAACTTGTCATATCTGTATGTCATACACACTGTACACAACTTGTGTCATATCTGTATGTCATACACACTACATAACTTGTCATATCTGTATGTCATACACTACATAACTTGTGTCATATCTGTATGTCATACAAACTGTATGTAACTTGTCTGTATGTCATATCTGTATGTCATACACACTGTACACAACTTGTGTCATATCTGTATGTCATACACACTACATAACTTGTCATATCTGTATGTCATGCACACTGTCCATAACTTGTGTCATATCTGTATGTCATACACACTGTATGTAACTTGTGTCATATCTGTATGCCATACACACTGTCCATAACTTGTGTCATATCTGTATGTCATACATACTGTATGTAACTTGTGTCATGTCTATGTCATACACACTATGCAACTTGTGTCATATCTGTATGTCATGCACACTGTCCATAACTTGTGTCATATCTGTATGTCATACACACTGAACACTATGCATAACTTGTGTCATGTCTGTACATCATACATGTTGTACACTGTAAGCAACAATTGTCATACCGGTCTGTCAGAGTACTCATGAGACATATTTGTATATCAATCAGGTGTCTCTGACCTTGAGAATCCAGAGGTGAAGACCATCAAAGTTGCTAAAGAGGCCTTGGTGTCAAAGGAGAATATCGCAGATGATACTCTTGGAGATGAAGACTGGAATGTCATCAGTGCTTCAAGGTCTGATATAGATAGTCAACATTCCTGTCAAGTGCACTTTTCTTGTTCAAATGCTCCTATATGCAAAGGGTTATTCATCCTCGTAAAATCGGAAAAAAATCACGATATGAATTGAAAGTTGTCTGAGAGATGACATTAATGCGATGGCAGGCCGTCTTTGTGAGGAAGTTAACAGTGTCTGTTGCTAATGTTGCAAAAACTATGTAACTACCACAAAACACCTACCAGTACATGCCCCAGACATTTCTGTTTCAAATAACAACAAACCCTTATTGTGTATGTTTAAAACATGTGTCAGTGTTTAAAGAAAATAGTTACAAGCTCTGAAGCATCTGAAAATATAATGAATGTTTGGGGTAAAAATGGAAGTGTAACACTTAAAGCAACCAATCCATAACAAGTGTGCCTAGTTGGACTGATTTGCAAAGAAAATGAAGGTCTGAATCAAGGTTGTGCGGTTGGGTATTCTCACCACACTTAATATATCTCTATCAACCATGACAATTTGTGACACTCGCATCAAGATTTCCCTATCTGTACCTAACATTAGCTAACAGTTAACATGTTCATTTTACGATGAAAAAAGTTCAGTGTACAAATAACAACTTAGATTTATTCATTTGTGATGCACTGACAGTTACCAAAACATTACTAGGCTCTTGAGAGGCATATAGAAGTTGGTATTCAAGTACCAAAATAGGAAGGCAAGGAATAGCCCAGAAACGTGTGTACAGTAAAGAAGTTGACATCCATAATATTTTGTCTCATAAAACATTACTACTTTCTACACTCCACAGCACTGCCAGTGAAGAGTATGTTGGTAAAGAGAAACTGGTCCTGTCTGAAGAATGTGACCTTGTCACCTTGGTTGAGGTCATTAAAGGTCGTCTGGAGGTCACAACAACTCATGTCTATTTCTTTGACTGTAGCTTTGTGAAGGAAGAAGGTGAGTGGGCATGTTAAATATGCAAAATATACACAAACACAATCTTTTTCATAGCGATCGTCCTTGGGGTACATATATGCATTTTCTGCGCTGAAAATGTCCTGTGACAGTTGTATCAATGTTTTAATAAAAATATTGTACAATAAATAAAATCTTTTTTATCTATTATACGGCCCCCACCTCGTGGAGTTACCTCCCGCTACGCATGCGCAGCCAACCAGGTAAGCACCTAGGCCAGTATCATCATTCCTTCTGCTGTCACTCCACTGAACGGATGTGTAAAGTAGAGCTGAACTTTTCACTGATAAGAAGTTAGAGAGAATAATGTCTGGGACACCACCACCTGTATGTATGGTCTTTATTTTGTCCTATGAATGGAACAGTAAAGCTTTGCGGTCGGTTGTCCCATAATTGTGACTTTGTATTAATTATTTTACGCTAACATTCCTGTGGTTTACGCGATGTGTTGCTTTTCCATGGCGGGAAGTTTAGCGCCATGTGGTTGTCATATTGGCGCTTTAACCAAGTATTTCTTCCCGGTGGTCGCATTCATGTAATTTTCAATGTTTTGTAATGCGGTATATTTATGCTGCTGGCTCCGGCTGTTAGCTACATGCTTGCGTGTTTGCTTTCAGGCGCTTTTCCGGATGTTCTGTCTGCGGACAGAGTATTCCCAGAGCAGACAAGCCATGACAAGTGTCTCGCTTTGTCCAGAGAAAGTCGACATAATCCCCGACATATGAGATATGTATGGGCTTCTCCCCGAGCCCAGAAGAGGAGGGTTGCTGATTTCCTCTTATAGGAGAAATGCGAGAGGCGGAGGGGAACTGACCCAGGTCCTCGCGCCTAAAGCCAAAACCCCAAGGCAGGCAAAAAGCTAAGTCGCTGCAGTCAGGCCTTCTACTGCACCTAGCCCGTTTTGACATGTCCTTATCACACAGCTTTTCCAGCAGCACATGGACTCAGTGGAAGTCCCTTGTTCATGAGTCGGTTAGAGGTCTCCGGCAGGAGTTCCTCGCCCACTCTGAGCAGGGGACGGAGAGTCCGGGTGGGATCGCCGAGCCCGCTCGATCCCTTGGCCTGGAGGCGCCTGTAGATCCGCTGCCTCTGGCTTCGGTCCGGACGCCTCTGCTGCCCCCGAGGAGGGGAGGGTTCGCTTCCCAGTCCCCTTCTCGGTGTTGGCACAGGGTCCGCTGAGGATTCCTGGGGTTCCGTCCCTCGCCGTCCCGCCCCATGAGAGCCGGAGGAACCAGTTCTGCCTGGTATTCCTCCAGCGCCTCGGGACCGGGTTCGAGTGTGGTGTCGGGTGCTGAAGCGGGGAGTTCCTTCAGCTCTTCCCTTCCCTCTGTGTCTGGTGCTAGGCCTCCCACCGGTCGGGTTCGGGTCCTCTTCGCGAGGAGATCCAGCCTCTGACTTCGGGCTCGGGTGCCCGAGTCCATGGACATTGGGGAGGTAGAGGAGCCGGAGGGCTTTCCGTTTTCCGACGGCTCTGAGGGGGGCAGGCATTGCCGAAGCTTATTCCCCAGGCCGCGGTGCCTACCAGCCGCCGGAGGCAACCCGGCTGCAGCGCAGGCGCTGCTGCCCTAGGCAACCAACGCAGATCTGCCGCATTCCCGCCCCTGGTGCAGGACGTGGTGGATCCCCACCTGGTTGGGACACGCCACCAGTTTGACTTGCCTGAGCTTGTCAAGAGGTACCAGCTGGGGACGATTCCCCGTTCTTTGTGCCAGTGGTCGATGAGTGTGTTTTCACTTCGTCACCCTGGGGAGGCTCGGCTTCCTCCGAGCAGCTCCGCCTGCCAGGCAGGGGCGCTTAGTGCCACCGTTTGCCCTCCTCGGGGGCTTCTGCAGCAGGCTTACTTACCGACCTACGAATGCCATGCAGCAGGTGCGGTGGTCATCCGGAGGCCTACCTCTCTATTCAGAGGTCAGCCCTGGAGGCTGAGGGGAACGCTGGGGGACGGCGATGTCGTCTTCGCAACTATCCGAAGTTCAGGCCTGACCTCGCTCTCTCCCAGCCCCAGGCACCATCACGGACTTGGTCAGCCCTGGGCCATATGGCGGCGACTATCTCTGTAGTGTGGCCGCTTGAGGATGCGCCCTATACAGCAACTTTGGCGAAGTTGTGGGCTCACTCAGAGGACCTGGCCGGAGTCTCACAGTCCCCGGTGGTTGTCTCCTCACCTTCAGTGGTGGACCAATGTCGGAATCTCTCCAAGGGGATCCTTTGGAAATCCCGACGCCAGCTCTTACAGTTCAAACCGATGCGCCCCTCACGGGCTGGGGATGTTCTGGCAGTCTGTCGGTGTCCAGACTCTGGTCCGGGGTTCGGCCCGCCTTCACATCAACGTGTTGGAACTGAGAGCTGTGCGTTGGTTTTCGAAGCGCCCGGAGCATGTCCAGGGCCAGGTGGTTCGCTCTTCAGTTGGACAACCATACGGCCATGACGCATATCCTGAAGCAAGGCGCACGGTGTCCCTAGCACTCTCTTCGGGAGACGGGACTTTCTCCTCTGGTGCGACCAGTGCGCATTGTCAGGTACTCCCTGTTTATCTCCCCGGGCTGGAGAACGCGCGCAGCAGACGCCTTCTCGCCGGATCCTGGCCCCGCGACGAAGTGGGATGCTCGACCGGGCAGATATTCGGAGTTATCTCTCGAAGTTGTAACGGATCGCTCCAGGTGGATCTGTTTTAGCGCCCAGCGGGACGAATCAGATACCCGCGTTCTGCTCTCGATACCGACCAGAGGGCGTTGGCTTCCGATGCCTTCCTGCTGGATTGACGGGCAAAGTGCTCTATGCTCCCACCGCTACCACTCATTCCCCTGGTCCTCTCCCAGCTGTCCACTCCAGCCAGCTCGGCTGCTTGTGCTACTGGCACCGCTTTGGCCGCCACAGAGCTGGTTTCCGTAATTTCAGGTTTCTGGCTCAGCCTCCTGTTCTATTACCTTTGGCGATCGGACATTCACTCAGAACGGCGCCATACCCCAATCCAAGGATTCAGTGGGTGGCTTGGCCTCTGTCAGGTCTAGCCTCAAGCACGCGGAATTCCTGCAGCAGTTGCAGACACAATTCTGGCTTCGGTAGGGGATTCGACAAACGCTCAGTATGAGGATAGGTGGTCCTGCTATGCGCCGCTGGTGTTCAGATAGGGGATTGCAGATCCCTTTTCTGCAGATTTAGTCCGAGTATTGGAGCTTTTTTGCAGAAGCTCGCGGTTGGAAGATTCGCGTCTACTCCACGGCTGTTTTCACCTTTCACACCCCTGTCGATGGTGCAGCACCAGCTCTCGCAGCGCTTTTAGCTGGCGCTGATCAGGTTCGACCTGCTGTCAGGCAAACCAGCCCACCTTGGGATTTGTCAATTGTGCTCGATTGGTTGTCCGTCCGCCGCTATCACGCCTATCGGCTATTTCCATTCAGTTGTTAACATGGAAGGCTGTATTTCTGGTGGCGGTAACATCTGGGCGTATGGTTGGCTAACTTACATGCTATGTCGCCAGACCCGGCGCTGACTGTGTTCCATTCAGATCGTGTCAGTATTTGCCTCCCGGATACTTACCGCCGGGGTCGACATCACGCTTTCCATGTTACAGCTTCTATCAAACTTCCTACTCATACCCAGCCTTCCACATCGGGGACCTCTCCTACGAGCACTCACCTGTTGGATGTCCGTGAAGACTCTCAAGGTCTATATCAAATGAACTCAAGGAATCCGCAGACGGTACCCATCTGTTCTGCTGTTACGGTGGCGGAAGGCTGGGGTGCCGGGCAAGCAAACAGACTTTGTCTCGCTGGCTTGTCTCGGTCATTTGTGCTGCCTATCAGGCTAAGGGCAAGCCTCCCCTGAGGGGTTGAAGGCTCACTCAGGTCAGGGCAGTAGCCACGCCAAAAGCTTTTGCATCGGCACTACCCATTGAAGAGATATGCTTTGCCGCCATTTGAGCCGCCTAGCACTTTTATCTGGCACTATCAGCTCGATACACATTCACGTAATCGCTCGAAGCTTTGACCGCTCTGTTCTCTCCAGTGGACAGTGTCCTGCCACCCTGACCGAAAGTGAGTCTTGGTTATCTGGTTTAGTTGACGCTGCTTTCAATTGTGTTTTATTGATATGTCCGCTGTTGGTGTATTACCTCCTTCGATTCTCTACGGAGATTATAGTCGGTAGTGAGTGTTTTTCCCCACGGTGCTCTCTGATAGACCATAAGGTGGGTGGGGTTGTTTACGCCGCGACTTTGTGCGCTTCTCATTATGCTTAACCTGGGAGGTCGAATCTCAATACCTTTCCTCCCTGTCTGTTACCCTCCCATCATGCCTCTCGCGGAAGCTCAAACGGGACATGTGACAGGTGAGTGATTGTGCATGCCTGTTACATTATTCTTAACGATCGCTATTTGTGTGTACTTTGACAGAATTCCTCCTCCCTGGCCTCCGGTCTTTGGGAGTCTGTGTTTATGCATATATGTACCCCAAGGACGATCTCTATGAAAGAATTAACCAAACCTGAAGAGGTTTTCAATTCTTTGAAGAGAGTCGCCCTTGGGTAGGGCCCGACCGCCTCCCCGCAATTCTGTTCACTGATTTATTCAGCAGAAGGAATGATGATACGCGCCTAGGTGCTTACCTGGTTGGCTGCGCATGCATAGCAGGAGGTAACTCGACGAGGTGGGGGCCGTATAATAGATAAAAAAGATTTTATTTATTGTACAATATTTTTATTAAAACATTGATACAACTGTCACAGGACATTTTCAGCGCAGAAAATGCATATATGTACCCCAAGGACGACTCTCTTCAAAGAATTGAAAACCTCTTCAGGTTTGGTTAAATTTTGCAGAGTGTCAGAAACAATAAGGCAATAATTTTGATGCCATTATTGCGATATTCATGATACCAAACTAGTTTGCAATACAGCATCACAGACTTTGAGGATAGCAAATATGAATTAGCTTAATCCACTTTAAGCATTACTGTACAGTCTTTCATCATCTGGTAATGCCGTATTTGAGCCCCAGAATTTATATTTGTCTGTCTTTGTTGGTATGGATGTAACCTTGCTCTGTGCAGGAGGGGAAGACTTCAAGTGGGCTCTGTCTGAGTTGAGGGAGATCCACTTCCGCAGATACAACCTTCGGCGCTCGGCTCTAGAGATGTTCCTCATTGACCAGACTAACTACTTCATCAATCTACCAAACAAAGTGAATATTTTAGTGTTTTTGTTCAGCTATAGTGTCTTTCTTGTTACATGATTCATAGATGCCCTTCATGAATTTTGATGTTAATTAGAAACACTAGGCATTCCGAAGAAGCAGGATTTATTCCTCACATGGTTAAAATGTCTGAAAACCATTCCTGATGTCCTGAACTGAAATATTCTGAAATATTGTTTGACACTGACATAAGAATAAAGCCCATTGATCCAGATGGTACAGTTTCCAGTGAAGCAGTGTTCATATTACCTTAACATATACGGCAGGAAACAAGGGAACAGTGTTCATTTATTTATTCTCAGATTTTCACCAACAGTGCAATACAAAGCTTGTGAAGAAACCTGGCAAAGAATAAAGTAACACTTGTTCTGTCATGTGTTCCCTAACTTATTTCCCTCAGTATATGTTGATTTATATATGTTTCCTTGAATAATATACTCCACAAAGAAAGGCTTACACACATATGTTGTGTCGACTTTTGACTTTGCAATGTACATATGTTTCATTTGTCTATTATACCTTTGCTACAGCAAGTAAGAAACAAGATCTATAGTCGTATCCTGAGCCTCCGTCCATCCAACCTGAGCTACTACGGCACTCGTTCCCCAGCGGAACTCCTCAAGGCTTCAGGCCTGACACAGGTAAGTCTGTTAGGAGATGGCATTAAGTCAATCCTGATCCTAAACCCAATGTCCTTCTCTATAAACATGACATCTTAAAGAGGTCTGTTGTTACTGTATGTGAAGTGTGGCAAGTATGTGAAGCTATTTGTAAGGCTGAAAAAACATCTCAGTTCTCAGGCACCATTGCATCATCATGAATTATGCTGCATGCTCCTGTTTTATTTGCATTTAGAAAATATGAATGGGTACATTTGTCTCTAACACGTGACCACAGCTGTGGAATGCTGCAATACTGTAAATAACGAGATCCGATAAAGTCATATAGTTACTTCCCTCTGCATGCACACTGCTAAGCTGTGCATCTCATGGTTATGAAGAGAGCTTGTTATGTAAAATTACATGATTAACCTGAACATTTGTTTTGTCAGATTAATGAAAACAGATAAGGTTTCACATTAGTTTGTTAAGTTTAAATAATACAACTTAAGATAAAATGGTTTGTGACTCAGTTTGTTCTGTGGTGTCCCACCTGTGAAGATCCGGGCTAGAATTGACCTTCAGTAACCTATGCTTGTCGGAAGAGGCGATTAATGGGATCGGGTGGTCTAGCTTGCTGACATGGGTTGGCACATGTCATCGTATCCCAATTGGGTAGATTGATGTTCATGCTGTTGATAGTTGGAATCAGTGTGCGAAATATCCACTGGCCCGCTAGCCCGTGGCTAGTAAAAATCCAGTCGGGCCAGTAAATCTCCACAGTCACTGGCCCAACTGGCTAGTGAATATATTTTCAAGGGGTCATTTTGTAAATACATGTATATCACTCTCTCAGACTCATTAAGTTATAATACACTTTTAAATCATGCAAGATTATGGCCTGATAAAATGTTCATCATATTAGCAGCTTAATGATGAAACCCGTGTCTACATTCAAATTTCAGGCCAGGGAATAATTTTGTGGGCTAATAACTTTCAGGCATAGCTAGCCCATCTGGCTTGCAAAATTTGGAAACCATTTCGCACACTGGTTGGAATATTGCTGAGTGTGGCGTAAAATTAAACTCACTCACTCACTCACTCTATGGTTTCCCATGTTACTTCTGCTGTCATTGTTGACACTTGTGTGTCTTTATTCTTCAGAAATGGGTTCAGAGAGAGATATCCAACTTTGAGTATCTGATGCAGCTGAATACAATCGCAGGTCGGACCTACAACGACCTCAGCCAGTATCCTGTGGTAAGCGTTTGTTCCGTGATGTTCAGATGTATTTGTCCTTTAATCTGCAGGTCTATTTGTTCTGTAGTCTTCAGATGGCCATCATGATTGCGGGATGTAAAACTTTCTATTTATAACTTTCAGTTCCCTTGGATCCTACGTGACTACACATCTCCCACCCTTGACCTCGAGAACCCGAAAGTGTACCGTGACCTGAGCAAACCAATGGGGGTCATTAACCCCAAGAACGAGCATGAAGTCAGAGAAAAGTGAGCTATTTAGAATGCAAAACTTTGACTACGACATACAGTATTATTAGTATCTGATTCTATTTCATGTCGTCATAACTGAGATATGTGAGTGTGAGTGTGAGTGTCTGAGCCTGATTCTGTGTTGTGTTGTGTAACAGGATCTGCTGATTGGAATCCCAGATTTACTTTGTTTTGGTTTTTGGTTTTCAGCAGCATTGTTTGCCATGCTCATCATGTTAAACATCTGACATGCATCACTGGGTTGGCTTCCTACATTAAGCCGCGTCATACCAAAAGACGTTAAAATATGGTACTTGTTGGTCCCTGCCTGGCTCTCGGCATTAATGGGTACAACAAGGACTGGTCGGCTCGGAGTCAGTATAATGTGTCTGAGTGGGGTATTCATGCTTCACTGCGGCATGGTATCTCAGTGGGCTAGCACTATAAAACCAGCTTCAGTTTGGGCTAGTACAAGCAGCCGCACATACACACGCATGCACGTCGTCACATGAGTGAAATATTCTCAAGCACGACGTTAAACCCAATTTCACCTCACCTCAGCTCACCTCCTACATTAAGGTGTCACATATTATGACTAAAATACTGCTGAATCCAGCCTAGATCCAACTCACTGAGCATTAACTTCATCATGAATACCACATCTGTGATTTGACTATTCAGTGTCTAGACAGTATTTTCTCGGTGTTTTGACTGTATGTGCTGTTTATGTTAGCTGTATGTTCTGTATTTGTTGACAGGTATGAAACCTTTGAGGACCCAACAGGTAACATAGAGAAGTTCCACTACGGCACCCACTACTCCAATGCCGCGAGCGTGATGCACTACATGGTGAGGATGGAGCCGTTCACCTCGCTGCACATACAGCTGCAGAGTGGCAAGTGAGTCTGAATATGTACTTTGTCTCACATCCCAAAATGTTCATCATGGCCATATTGTTATCACATTCAGTAGTATTTGTTTCCTTTGGTTTTTCTTTATTCAGAGTCCCACTGAATTACACCTTACAGGGCGTGGTGGTGGGAGCTGGCTAAGGCGCCAGGCTAGTGATCTAGCGGGCATGAGGTGCCGGGATCGAGCCCACCTGTAAACGGGTGTAAAAACCTTGGAGTCAACTTTGTGTGCAAACTCTTTCAGTGTTGTCACAAGCCCTAGTGTACAGTACACAACCCTGTGCACTTAAAAGAACCCACGAATCTGTTGGTATATGACCAGATGGTGGTCACATGAATACGTGCAAACACCTAGTTGTGGGTACAGCAACGTGCAGTAAACTTGGACAAAGTACTGTGACTATGTGTCCCAGTCCACCCAGCTGTGAATGGGTACCCCGTAAGGATGGGAAAGCCGCAATAACTTGTTGCGCCTAGTGGCAGCAAGAGTTGTATGATCCCCAGGGAGTTGATCTTGATAATAAGATGTGTCGTTGAGATTGACATCCAATGACCGAGGGAAAAAATACCAGCGCCTTGAGAATGCACTAGTGTGTGGATATGTGCTCTATATGAAAAGTATCCTTTAAATATCATTATGTTTGATGACATTTTAGCGTGTGTTGCTTCTAAAGCAAGTTTTTGTTCATCTGTCTTCACAAAAAGCTTGTTATTTAGGAGATGTTTCTGTTGCAGATTTGACGTGGCAGATCGACAGTTTCACTCTATCCCAGGCAGTTGGCAGTCACTGTATGAAAACCCCAACGATGTCAAAGAACTCATTCCAGAGTTCTTCTACCTACCGGAGTTCCTTATAAACTCAGATGGTGAGTTGATTTGTAGCATTGTAGTGGAAACTGAGGTACTGATTAAAGCATTCAATGCCATGGTGATGTATACTTCAACATCAGCACTCTCTCACTCACTCAATGTGTCATACTCAGGCCCTCTCTTATTTGTTGATGAATTGTCAGAAATCGATCCAACCTTGAATCTTGGATCTGTGAAATAAAAATCAAATTTTTTATGTCTCCCAGGGTTTGACTTGGGTCGCCTGCAGCTGACAAAGGAGGGAGTGGGGGATGTGCTCCTGCCACCCTGGGCTTCCACACCAGAGGAGTTCATCAACCTACACAGGGAGGCTCTGGTACGTTCAGCTGTACTGATTAGTAAAAGGCCATTTATTTTTATTACTAATCGTTCATGGTTGAGAGAAAACAGCCAGTTCTAGGTGGGGTCGCCTAGTGGTTAAAACCCAAAACCCTTCTCTATAAACATGTTAAAACGTTTGGTTGTCACGCCAAAGACCTGGGTTCAATTCCCAACATTGCTACAATGTGTGAAGCCCATTTCTGGTGTCCCCCACTGGAATTTTGCTGGAATTTTGCTAAAAGTGGCATAAAGCTAACTTTCAACTGTCTTGTGCAGTAGCAGACTAGCTGTCATACCTAATTGTGGGCAGTGTAACACACAATAGAGAAACTGATGACAAGATGCTGTTAGTTCATATCAGGGTGCAACACTGTGCCATTTTTGTCTTGGCTTCATTCATATCATAGAACCCAAAATGTGCCTCCAGGATACATGTTGCCCTTGGTTGCCAATCAGTTATCTGTCTTTGATCGCTCGCTTCCCTTCTTGCCTTGGGATGGAGGGCAGGAATGAGACTTGTGCCGGGATAAGATGTAATATCATGAATATTTATATGAGGTATTTGTTATCCCATTGCAGACATCTTGTGTATACTATTACCATGAATATCATCAGATCATAGGTTTTTCGGACACCAGTGTTTTCCCAGGTTATAACAAGGATGTTGCATCACACAGACATTGTAAATTCTTGAACGATTGCTTGTGTTTTGGGAAAAGTTTTCTTATTAAGTTAGGGAGATGTTTTCTAGTCATTCATGTGATTAGAAAGATAACAACGAATGTTTCTTAAGTGTCCAAAAACCTATAATACGAGGATATACAAATTCATATTTGTTTGACTATCTCTAATGGAGTCCTTGTGGTTTTGTATTTCCAGGAGTCTGAGTTTGTGTCCAGGAACCTCCATCACTGGATTGACCTGATATTCGGTTACAAGCAGAAAGGCCCAGCTGCTGTGGATGCCCTCAATGTCTTCTACTACTGCACCTATGAAGGTTAGTTCCAAGTATACGGCTCAGGCAGCCTAGGTAGATCAGACTGTTAGGTCATATAATCTGATGCACTGCTAGTCACGATTCTAGTGTATGTTGTGTGCTGCAGGAGCTGTGGACCTGGACGCCATTGAGAATGAGAAGGAGAGGAAAGCCCTGGAAGGCATGATCAACAACTTCGGCCAGACACCGACACAGTTGCTCAAGGTCGGTCATTACTGAACTAACTGCAAAGATTGAGGTCGGATATTGTAGCTCTGTATATTGACTGTGAACGGATGATGTGGATCAGATTTTGTAGCTCTGTATATTGACTGTGAACGGATGATATGGATCAGATTTTGTGGCTCTGTATATTGACTGTGAACGGATGATGTGGATCAGATTTTGTGGCTCTGTATATTGACTGTGAACGGATGATGTGGATCAGATTTTGTAGCTCTGTATATTGACTGTGAACGGATAATGTGGATCAGATTTTGTAGCTCTGTATATTGACTGAACGGATAATGTGGATCAGATTTTGTAGCTCTGTATATTGACTGTGAACGGATAATGTGGATCAGATTTTGTAGCTCTGTATATTGACAGTGAACGGATAATGTGGATCAGATTTTGTAGCTCTGTATATTGACTGTGAACGGATGATGTGGATCAGATTTTGTAGCTCTGTATATTGACTGTGAACGGATGATGTGGATCAGATTTTGTAGCTCTGTATATTGATGATGAACGGATCTCTGTATATTGACTGTGAATTGATGTGGATCAGATTTTGTAGCTCTGTATATTGACTGTGAACGGATGATGTGGATCAGATTTTGTAGCTCTGTATATTGACTGTGAACGGATGATGTGGATCAGATTTTGTAGCTCTGTATATTGACTGTGAACGGATGATGTGGATCAGATTTTGTAGCTCTGTATATTGACTGTGAATGGATGATGTGGATCAGATTTTGTAGCTCTGTACACTGTCTGTGGTCAAGTGACAACGATCAGATATATCAGATGTTAACTTCATATTTCATAGGGTATGAAGGAATTTACATTTGTTCCTACAAGACCATTTTGAGTAGTCATACATCATGAAGCTTTTGATGTGTAAGTTACACTGTATAAAATCAACATATTATCAGTAATGAAAGTTTGCCAGAATCAAGAAAATCATCAAATCGTTCATAATGGATGGCGAGGGGGAGTGATGATGATTTTTAAGTGGTGGGTCAGGGTGTGGGGTGTTACCTACTTTGTTATGGGGAGGTAGGGGGTCATCAGTTTTGTACAGATGTACTTGGGGGAGGTCAGTAATTTTGTACATGGCATGCAGAGGAGTCACTTATTTTAGGAGGGGGCATTCACATTGTACATGCTACTCCATAAAAGTCATCATCACCCCCTTAGTCATAAATTATGAACGGTTCCTTATGGTAACGAAGTCAGTACCTTGATAGAATCGACACCAGGAAACTGTTCCATTTCCAGGAACCCCATCCAAGAAGACTAGCTCTTGATGATGCTGTTACCAGGGCAGCAAAACTGGGAGACCACTCAGCATTTTCAATTTTCTGTCACAACTGAAACCTTTCTTTGTGGAGGTGAGTCTGCAGGAAGTTCCCAACTTTAACTTTGAGTGCAGTGTGAGGGACAGTAATCAGAAATACTGATGTAGTCAGTGGCTCGGTTGTCCAGAAAACTGAGGGGGAATTTGTATAGCAGTATGAGGATCCATTGATGAAAACATTTGCAACTGTTCACTGTTTCATTAGAAACGTGTGTTGAGTTGACTGAGACATTTTCTTGAAAATCAGATCTTTTACTCTGATAATTTTCTTATTCTATGTGAAACTCAAACAAAGGAGGGAGATTGGGTCAATCAGCCCATTCTCTTATAGAACTAGCAAATCATCCAGTACACCCAATCTTCAATATTTATGCCTAAAAATGAACATGAATGGGAGGGTAAAACAAAATGGAATAACAATAACGCCACAGTATTTTGTTCAGAATATTTTATACTATAAGTTGTTCACTGGTCACAAGGGGGGCATGGGTTGATGTACCCTCGATGTTTGTTTATGTTCCCTGAGCCCGGGAATTTATCTTACCAAACACCTTAATGTTAATTTTGGATTGATTGAAGCACGGGTACAAATCTTTTTGTAGCCATCGCTAGATTTTGCTGACAAGAAAAACAGATTTAGAGTTATCTCCCTTTCCAACGATTTGCATTCGCAAAACATCAGTAATTTCCGTTCATCATACTTGATTCAGTGTTATTCGAGATAAAGAATTACTACCACGAAGTACCCAATGCGGGGTACATTGAAATGTTACTGGCTTGTAAGCAGGGTACATTGAAAAAAATAGAAGAGCTCTCAGCCAATCAGAAAGCGACATTTATGTGTGAGGTAAGATGAACCTTGTTGTTTCTGAGTTCAAAAGCTACAATATACATTTAAAGGTGTACATGTGTGTTTCTAATTGATACGAATACCAACAAGTTCCAAGTCAAAGTGGAAAAGAAATTATGCCAAATCATTTAGAAACCTCACATCGGATGGGCTCATTTATTGAGATCTTTCTGTCAGTATTCCACCTGATGTGGCTCCCACCTGATGTGGCTCCTTAGGAGGATTTGTCAATGTTTATGCTGAAAACAAACAATGTGATCTCAGCAAGATAGGCTGTGTAACTTCCACATGTATAATGAATTCTGATTGTCTGTTGCAGGTATCCAACGACCAGGACCCGATGGTGTATGTGAACATACCTCGCAGTCAGTTCCGATCCATCATTCAGCATGGGATGCCAGACAACATGGTGAGACTTAAACACAGTCTTTGTCATCCAATTTAGCCAGAACATTGAGTGCAGGTCATGTACACAATATGGGAACATGGGTCGATAGCCTGTTATACTCCTCACAAAAAAATTAAGCAACAAGTATTTTCAGTGATATATCTTTATCAATTTCGATAGCGATTTTTGCCAACAAGTTACTGAAAGGTAAATATTCAAAGAATACATAACCTTTAGTGACTGTTAAGTTGATTTATCTGATAATATTGATTACATCACCCGATCACAACCACCCTCAGGAAAAAACATACAAAAATGTGTGGCATGAATGTGCTCCACTCTTCACACATGCACCCTGATCGGTGTAAACCTACCTGTCATCATTCCTCTGGTACAACAAGCGGGTCCTAACTTTTTTATGGACGATAATTCCCATCTATGGATGATAATGCCCGAGAAAGAGTTTAGATCAACAACATCACAAATATGGACTGGCCTGCAAGGTCACTTGATCTTAATCCCCTTGAACATGCTTGGGACTTAATTGGAAGGCATGTTTACGGTCTCCATGTTATTATTTTTTTATATATTATTATAGGATATTTATATGGCGCACATATCCACGCACTAGTGCATGCTCAAGGCGCTGGTATTTTTTCCCTCGATCATTGGATGTCAATCTCAACGGCACATCGATTATCAATCTCAACTCCCTGGGGAGTATACAACTCTTGCAGCCACTAGGCGCACTGAGTTATTGTGGCTTTCTCATCCTAACGAGGTACCCATTCACAGCTGGGTGGACTGGGACACGTAGTCACAGTACTTTGTCCATGTTCACTGCACGTTGCTGTACCCACAACTAGGTGTTTGCACGTATTCATGTGGCCACCATCTGGTCAAGTACCAACAGATTCGTGGGTTCTTTTAAGTGCACAGGGTTGTGTACTGTACACTAGGGGTTGTGACAACACTGAAAGAGTCTGCACACAAAGTTGACTCCGTGGTTTTTACACCCGGTCACAGGTGGGCTTGATCCCGACACCTTAACCTCGCTGGATCACTAGCCTGGCGCCTTAGCCAGCTCGCCCGCCCATTTGTGCTCATAGTGGTCATATGCGTTACTGAACACTGCCTCACTATAAAAAAAACTGACTTGAACCTTAATGTTAACATTTTGCTCCATCAATGGAGCACATTTTCCATGACTGTGTCACGGGTACATGCTTTTGATGATTTGTAAGTCTATGATTGCTCAATACCATTTCATTTCATTTTGTTAATCATGTGTACATATGTTTCACCTTTCTATTGCATCATTCCATGATTTGCAATTTCAATAAATGAAAATGTAATGAGTCTAAAAATTTGTGTTGCTTAACTTTTTGTGAGGAGTATATATCATAAGAGCAAAGTGATGTTGCTCATTATGTTGACCACTTGGGTATCTGGCACACACTATATTTGATCACTGTTCACCAGGATACAGCTGTTTGTTTGTTGTTTGATGCCACACTCAGCAATATTCCAGCTATATGATCGAGTCTGGACCAGACAATCCAGTGGTCAACATCATGAACATTGATCTATGCAATTGCGATACAATGACGTGTCTACCAAGTCATTGAGCCTGGCCAACTGATTCCTCTAGTCGCCTGTTACGACAAGCTCGGTTTGCTGAAGACCAATTCCAACCTGGATCTTCACTGGTATACCTTCCAGTCTCAATTATTGACAGACCACCGCCATATAGCTGGAGTATTGCTGACTGTGGTGCAGAACTTAACTCACTCACTCAATGGTAAACCCCCCTACCATGATGCAGCATGAATACTACAGAAGCCAGTGTGAAACAACAAAATATGTCCCAACTTGGTACTTGCTCCCTAGACAATTACATGTTAGTCATGACATGGATTTGATGACTCAATATATGACTATGAATAGCAATAAATGTCTTTTATTTCCCAGATCATCTCATTATTTGCTCATGTTTTCTCCAATTTTACAGATTACAGTGACGGAAAATGGCATAATTGGCATCCATGGCTGGCTGCCATTTGACAAGTCCATCTCCAACTATTACACATTTGAGAAAGATCCGTCCATGTTCAATGCCAAGTGAGTGATAGAAAAATGATAGATTAGATTTTGAATGAATGTACATCTTTCTCCATGGTGCATTAGTAAATGAATGCCTTTCCAGGAATTTCTGAATATTCTGAGACCATAAGTATGTTCTGTGACTGTCTGATTGCTCTGTGACATTTTGCTTCTCTCCAACAGAACCAAGAAGAGAGTTGGAGGTCCATTTGCTCCTGGTATACGAGTTGTCCCAAAGTTGTTTGCTGTGTCACATGATGCTAAGCTGTTGTTCAGTGTGGGATACTGGGACAACAGCCTACAGGTCTACCATCTCGGGAAAGCTAAGCGGATCAACCATATTGTCAGACACATCGGTAAGATTTGAGAACATGGTCATGCATTTATGGTTGACATAATATGGATTACAACTGTATGCATACTCTGTGTGATGTGAAATTGCTCCTGGAAGTCATTCCGGTGTACTGTTCATAGCATACTCTGTGTGAAAATTGCTCAAGTCATTCCGGTGTACTGTTCATAGCTGCGTTAAACTCAACTCACTCTCTCACTCTATGTTGATTTTCATGGTAATGACCTTGGTAAAAACCCTCTGTCACCAAGATTGACAATGATTATGACCTTAAAGAATACTTGTAATAATGTGTGTACTTATATTGAGTTGTATATGACTTCCACCCACATGGTGTTTGCTCAAAACCCAAACATTATTACCCTTGTCATTGGCTCAGTGTGCTACAACCCAAGCTGCCTGTGAGGTGCTATAAGGTTAACAGTCATTTGAACATCTCATCCCTCCGGGTATCCATTCACTGCTGGGTGAACAGAGGCTTTATTGTGGTGCAGGACTAGAAACCCTCTGATAATTTAATTGACTTAGATTATGGTCACCCATCCATTGACTCCTTGCCACCATTGTCGCCTAACTTCAACTGATTTGTGACCTGTGCTCTTTGAACTCACCACAACTGTATCACCAAACTCATGGGTTTAACCCAGGTTAAATACAATTATGACCCTTCTGAACACTGCGTTAAGTCCTTGACACTGCATATTTCAGATATTGTGACATGTTTGGCCCTTGACTACTGTGGAAATCATCTAATCACTGGTTCTAGGGACACAACCTGCATGATCTGGGAGATTCTGCAGCAGGTAAGTCATCATTTTGTCTATAGCGAGATTGAGATATGTCTAGTCTCATATTTATTAAGCAATATAATGTCAATAGGTGGTGTTTAACGCCTTTGCTTGGACTTCATCATCATTGCCTCTGCAGCTGCAGTTGGTTTTCTGAACACCACGGGGGAGGTGGGGTAGCCCAGTGGTTAAAGCGTTGGCTCATCACGCCGAAGACCTGGGTTCCATTCCTCACATGGGTACAATGTGTGAAGAACATTTCTGGTGTCCCCCGCCGTGATGTTGCTGGAATATTGTAAAAAGCGGTCTTAAACTCACTCACTGAAACACTGGAATATTGCCACGCTTATGGCAGACATTGGAGACTTTCATAATTGATGTACTTCCTAGCTTGTCTCTAACTTCTTATACCCTTGTGGCATGTTTCACTTTTCACGAACTTTCAAAGCTTTTGTTGTCAGTTACGATTAACTCAAAGTAACTAACCTGATTGTGTAAAATGTTACATATGCCATGGTGTTGACACAGTAATACAACCACGATTTGTACCAAATCATGTTCAGAGGTGCCCTACAATGATAGGGTGAGACATTGCAATAAATACGTTCATTCACAGTGGTGTTGTTGTTGTTGTTGTCACCGCAGTCATTCCAGTGAATCTGACTTTGCACTCAGGTAGGTAGATATGATGGTACTGATTCGACCTCCATTGTGACGTGTTGCAGGGAGGGGTCAGCAGTAACGTGTTCAACAAGCCTATCCAGACACTGTATGGCCATGATGCCGAGGTGACCTCAGTCCATATCTCCGTGGAACTAGATTTGGCTCTCTCAGCCTCCAAGGTATGGGATAGTTCAACATAAATTTGTTTCTCTCATTGTCACCTGAATGATTTGTTAAAGCTTTAGATATTTCATGAGTTTACTGTGTGAAGCTATATATCAGTAGCCATCCCTTTGGGTTTAGGGGAATATTGGATCCATGGATCCAGTGGTCATAACTCAGATGACAGATTTTATCATTTACATGATGGTGTGATACAGAAGGAATATTGCAGTAGTGGTGTACAACTTCACTTAACCCACTCTTAATGTGCCAGACCTGTGAAGGTCCGGGTTAGAATATTGATCTTCAGTAACCCATGCTTGTCGTAAGAGGCAACTAACGTGATCGGGTGGTTAGACTCGCTGACTTTGGTTGACACATGTCATCGGTTCCCAATTGCGCAGATCGATGCTCATGCTGCTGATCACTGGACTGTCTGGTCCAGACTCGATTATTTACAGACCGCCGCCATATAGCTGGAATGTTGCTGAGTGCAGCGTAGAACTAAACTCACACAATCACTTAATTGCCATTTAATGAAAATTGGTCAGCTTATAAACATTTTTTTGTGAACAAGGACATTTCTCTTCAGATTATCGAAAAACTTTAGCTATGGTGGCAAATGCAAATCTTTGTGGTAAAAAATATATTTTGTACATGTTGATCATTGTTGGACAAATTCCCAGCTCATTAAAATTCACTTCTTTGTGAAACATTCCTGGAATTTTTGATTATGATATGATGGTTGTGTGTATGCAGGATGGGTCTGTGATCATACACACAGTAAGGAAAGGCCATTACATGCGGACACTACGCCCTCCATCTGACCCTGGCTCACACCTGTCCATTCCCCTGATGCTGGTGTCCGAGATCGGCCAGATCCTGTTGTACTGCCAAGAGTACACCTCCACATGTGAGGTAAGTCTGATATCAGAGTTATGGAGTTTCAGGGTATAATTTGTTACAACTTTGTTGTAACTGTACTGGTTTTCCCTGAGGCTACAGAAAGCTTCTAATGCCTGAACGTCCACAGAACAGATAGTGGCCGAGTTAGCAGCTGGTATAACAGGTCCATGTATCCACAGCACAGATACTGTCTGGTTAGCACCTGTTTGAACAGGATATTGGATAGTTCTGGCATTTGGCATATAAGTCAATGTCATCCAAGTGTGTTTTGTAGTTATGATATTGTTTTTGTAAAGGGGGTCAGGTTATTTTCTTGCTTTACAAATAGTATCCAGGTGCAATACAATTATATGTGAATATTGCCACATATTCTGTCATATTGTCAGTGGTGCAGTGATGTTTGTGAAGATGGTTTCCAGTGTAATACCAGTAGGGGAAAGTGTTAAAGTTGAACTTGAAAGTCAAGGAGTCTTTGTCATAAATCTAATGTTAAGGATTTTTCGGAAGTTCTGAGACAAGTTTTTGCAAGTACCAGAGGAAGATAACCCTGGAACTCTTTGAGTATGTGGATGCTGGTCTTTCAGTAACATGGCAGAATGCGTGCTATTTTAGGTATATTCTTGTCAAGAACCAAGCGTCAGGTGTTAAGAAGGTTATGTTTTTTTTCACTTACTCATTGCCCATACTCCACTCCACTCATCTAGGTAGTTCATTGTTACTCATCTAGAGTTATTTGGTGACAGGTGTTTCTCATTTCGCCTTCACAACTCTGTTTTAGGAACGCTACTCCTTGCACCTGTATTCGGTGAACGGCAAGCACCTGTTCACAGAGGACATGCGTTACCCACTGGGGCACATGGCTGTGGCTGGACAGTTCCTGGTGGCTGGGGACAGCCAGGGACATCTTATGATCAAACAGCTGTTCGGGTGAGTAGTACATGAAATTATAGCTTCATGTTCACAGAAAACAGACATGGCTTGAACATGTTAAATAAGGTTACGATGGATTACGTTTTCTTAACAATTAACAATGCAATTTCTTGTAATTGTCTGCAGGTTCATTTTGAAGTAATTATGCACTGCAGGCATCTGAGAGCATGACATTGGATTTATCTGAAAAGAAAAACAGATTTATTAGTCCCTGATTCCAGGTCGCCATTCTTATAATTGTTTGTCTTAGATGTCTGAGATGCCACAACTCAGTGTGCTGTGTCCTTTTGGTAGATGACAGAATATGATTATTGGTTCCACCAAGGTGGACCCATGAAGATCTGGGTTAGAATTGACCCAGTAACCCATGCTTGTCGTAAGATTCGAATAACTCACATGGTCAGGCTCGCTGACTTGGTTGACACATATCAATGTATCCCAATTGTGTAAGTCTATGCTCATGCTATTGATCACTGGACTGTCTGGGACAGCCACTGCCATGTAGCTGAAATATTGCTGAGTGCAGCGTAAAATTAAACTCACTCACTCACTCTACCAAAGTGGTAATTGAGTTTGAAACAAAGCAAACAATTAAAGGCAAACATATGCCTCATTCAAAGTTGTGTTAATCCTTATTCAGTCACTGAGTCACTCTGTGCACTAACAATATGTTCCTACTGCAGCTTGAAGAACCTGACTACCCTTCAGCTGCTTGTCCCCATCCAATGTCTGACTGTAACCAACGGCAACAGTCACATCCTTGCTGGACTTCGTGATGGTAAACTCATCATCGTCGGCACCAAAGGCAAGCCAGAAATACGATAACAATGGCCTGAACTTCACTGGCCAACTTTTAACAACAAACCAACTTGAATTGGTTTTTAGAGTGTTATCTTTGTAACACCAGACACAAGAAGTGGATGACAATGCTGTAGTCAAGAACAGAACAGTTCCAGATATAGTATATGTTGCCAAAATGGCATCAGCAGAAATGAATATGAGTCAGTAATCTACATCTGTGGTAGAATCCAGAGACAAACCAGTTTTGTAATGTGAAATGTTAACAATATGTTTGACAGGAACCAAGATTTTATGATGTCAAGTATTAGAAGTATCTCTAACAGGAACCAGGTTTGGTGATGTCTGGTGTTAGAAGTAGCTCTAATAGGAACCAGGTTTTATGATGTCTGGTGTTAGAAGTAGCCCTAACAGCTACCAGGTTTTGTGATGTCAGTTGTTAGCAATATAGCAATATGTTTGACAGCTACCAGAATTTACAATGTCAGAAGTAGCTTTGACAGCAACCAGGTCCTACTGGTATTTGATGTTAACAAAGTGTTTTACAGCAAGTAGGTTTTGTGAGGTCCAGTGTTTACCAAACATTTGACAAAAACTAGGTTTGGAGATCTGACACATATAGAAACAAGGCAATAAGACTAGAGAACAGTTGGTACCAGCATACTTTGTGGTTAGAAAAGTGACAGTGTTTCCTGAATAGCTACTGATTTTGTAAAAATGTTGTAGCTACTTATTTTGTAAAAATGTTGTAAACATTAGTTCCAACAGCAATATGTGATAAGAAAATGTCACTGTTGACTGCTGTTTACAGAACCATTTTGTGATATACGTCGTCAATAGTTCCTACAATGTAATGCTGTCAACATCTGAAACATGTTTGTGTTAACTGTTACAACATTTAACTCCACAAGCAGTCAAGGTTTGTGTTAATTCTTTTCTTCAAGCACAATTATTTATGTTTCATCATCAGTGCTGTAGTATACAGAGGAGTAGTTGACTGATTTTGTGTTTAACGCAGCATTTGAATGTGTTTCCATCTAAGTGTCCTTTTTACACTTTTCAACATGTCAGAGGACATGATCAGATCTACAGCAACTCTCTTTTATGTGATTGTTTTTTCTAGAATGTTTGTAGATACTTCTTTACAATGATTCTGTAATGGTTTGACAGACGAATTGAATGAATATGAATTTCTCTGGCAATATAATATTGTCCTAGATGCATTTCTGTTGATGCACTGTAGACTGACACAACATATTTCCAAGGCGATGAGAAACATAGTTGAAGAAGATACATATGTTTTCAGTGATACTTCTTGTCTGATATTAAGCATGAGACCATTTACTTTTGTACATGAGAATCTTTATGCATATAGTCTTTACAAGTATGGAATTATGAGTCTGCAAGTTTACGTTTACTGACCCTGAAGCATGATAGCAATAATCATAATGGAATGAAGGAAATTCTCATGACATAATCGTAGCAAAACTTTCAAAAGATTTCATTTTGTTTTAATATCAATATAAGTGTAAATCACTGTACATCAATATTGACATAAGTGATAGTCTGTCATGTGATTTCATGTGTATGTGTGTGTTCTGCGTGCCTATGTCCATGTTTATATCCCTAGGTCCATGAACGGTTCATCTGTGTCCATACTTCACTGACATGTCCATGTGTGTCCATGCTATATGTCCATGAATGGTTCATCTGTGTCCATACTTCACTGACATGTCCATGTGTGTCCATGCTGATGTCCATGAACGGTTCATCTGTGTCCATACTTCACTGACATGTCCATGTGTGTCCATGCTATATGTCCATGAATGGTTCATCTGTGTCCATACTTCACTGACATGTCCATGTGTGTCCATGCTATATGTCCATGAATGGTTCATCTGTGTCCATACTTCACTGACATGTCCATGTGTGTCCATGCTGATGTCCATGAACGGTTCATCTGTGTCCATACTTCACTGACATGTCCATGTGTGTCCATGCTGATGTCCATGAACGGTTCATCTGTGTCCATACTTCACTGACATGTCCATGTGTGTCCATGCCAATGTCTATGAATGGTTCCCATGACCTGAGGTTTTTGCAGTAGAGATGAAGCTAAGTCAGACTGGTTATATGTGCATGATGCTGTTGACATTGATGCAGGAACGTACTATAGGGTATGTCCCTGTGGTGATGTGACATCCAAAAGGATGTTTCCTGTACCCTCCATTGTCACCTTCCATTGTCCTTCATAGTGCAAGATCAGAGTTGCATTTGCAAGGATATTTTTTTGTCCAATTTTTTTTCCACATGTTCTGGATAAAGGTGACAACTGTCACTCTTTAGCTTATGTGACTGGAAGTCATGGCCTGGTTTTCCATGATATAGCTTGTGATGTTGTCAGTGTCTGTCCTTACAAACCACATGACAAATGAAGCTTCACCTGCTTGTTCCCAAGTTCCCTTTGCTTATTCCCAAATCCAAATTTCAATATGGCCTCTACTTTGACTATATTAAGAAAAGTTTTATGGCCATACCGCAGACATTTCTGACTCATTTTCATTTCAAACATAATTCAGTTTGCACTTTAATCATACTGAAACCTGAAATTTGTTGTGGTCATTATTCACCTGCCTTGGTAAACAACAAGTGCTAATAAAGGTAATGAAGTCATGGATGTTAATAAAGATATAGAATGATCTATCTTATCTTATCTTATGTTACACATTCATTTTTTGTCAGGACATAATGAAAATTAGTACTGTAAGTGTTTAGGATGTAGTCCACACAAAAACTTATTCCAGGTTTTGCCACTTTTTAAATTTGGATCTTAATCTGGCCTTTGTGTTTGACCAATGCTCTTAGTTTTTACAAAATGTGCATAAGGTTGAAAAAAGTATTAATCTTCAGAAGCCGCTGCACAAATGAAACGTTGGACTTCCTGCTCCTTTGAATTATAAAACGCAATTACTTCAAACTTTGTGTGCAGTAGAGTTAAGTTATACAATAATACATTTGTCGTGCTGACTTGTTTCATATTTGTAAATACTTTCGAGAAAATATTTGATAGCTGACAGCACAATATGCTCATTGGCTTTGTTGACATTTTGTATTGTTGACTATACATACATGTATGTATATCAATATGAGTTACAGTCCTATGGCACTCTTTATTATTAGTTTTTAAACCGCAAGTTTGCTAACTTGATAACTGAAATTATTAGCATGTAAAATCTTGCAACTCTGGTCTTGTACATTTTATCCCTTTGCCAAATGATCAAACATTTTGTCGTTGTTGAGTTTCTCGAGGCTGATTTAGAGACATTGTGATCTTTAGAATTATGGGATGGGACATATAAAGCCTTCTGTGATTGCTTGTCAAAAACTGATCTATGATAATAATCATGAATAATAAGTTTGATAATCAGGGGAGGCTGTAACGTTATTGTTGTGACTGTGACATATTTAATGTATAAACTAATGTATTGACTTTATCTCCGTAATTGTGGAAAGTGGTCTTGCTTGAGTGGATATGTCTCTGTACATAAGAACCTTCATGTATATTTGTTAGTCCTTTAGACAATTAAAAAAACATGCAAGAGTTCTGTGTGTGTTATTGCCAATAAGTCATTTCAGAGAGCAATTAACTTATCAAAAATCTGTAGAGAGTATGTATATTCCCACTTAAACCTTATATCAGAATAATATATTGTTTGGTATTAGTTTTGTATATAATCTTCATACTGTGTGAATTTGTACTTGTTTCCAACCCATTAAGCAAGATGTTCTAGAAAACTAACATGTTTCTGTAATATTATCCACATGGAGTCAGTGATGTTGTTTTTTAACTTTTCTAAATGACATTTTGTCTTCTGGGTAAAGTTAAATGTGTGTGTGTTAAAGTGAAAAGAAATGTCATACTTGGGAGAGGTGTCATCTGAGATCTGGTGTGGTTGATTATGATGCCATCAATTCTGGGTTTGAATCTTACTTTTGTTGCTAAGAAACCCAACTGTTGTGTTTTGTACAAATACAGTAAACTATAATTATAACAAGCATGCTTATGATGAACTGACGGAATTTTTTTTCAAAATGCATGTAACAGACTACTGTTATTCCAACTAAAATAGTGTTTCCTTCATCTTTCTTTATAACCCTAATTTACTGATCATTATATAGAACTCCCACTTCCTACAAGAAATATTTACATCTGCAAAGAACCTTAAAGAATAAATAACAAAATAGTTTCCTTAGGCCAGGCCAAGTTTATTTCTTGTTTTAACGGATCCACCGGGTCGTATTTTTTCAAGAATAAAAAAAATAATAATTTAATTTTCCCCGCTCAAAAAAAAAATTGATATTTTTATTGGCCAAAAATATAAATGTGCAAGAAAATGTTTTCAGATATATTTTTTGCCCCATATACACTTCATAAATTGCCAAAAGTAAAATACTTTTAGTTTTTAAAAGGAATATTACTTTGACTGGTGATTTTTTATTTTTTATTTTTAGCCTCCCGCCTTTAGGTTTTCTGAGGACAAAAATCCATAATACAAGAAATGAAATTTGTCTGACCTTATTCATAAGAAATCTCAGGCATCATCCATAACAAATACAGAATGGTCAATGTGAAACAGATGTATTTTCTCAAGTGATGGTATCCTTTTATATCTATTTTTAAAAACAGGTCAAATTGTTATAACAGCTCACGAACTCATTCACTGAAAAGCATTATCTGAATTCAGTGAGAGTGAGATTGATTGAGTGTGTTCAAATGGCTGGTATCCTACTTAATATTGTTAAAAACAAATGTGAATTGTAGTGTAAATTGTATATTTTGGAATATATAACTTTTGCAAATGATCTTTGTCACATACCTCAGTTCTTATGTCAATACTCCATAAAGTTCAAAATACAATAGGAAATATTTCACTTCATATATCCTCATACACAAGGCACTATGTATAACATTGAAAAAAAGGCTACCGAAAAGAACATTCCATAAAAATGTTTACTGTGGCAGTTCAAGGAAACAAATATAAAGATTTTTTTACAGTGCCTGAGTTTTGTGAATGAGTGGTTATAAGTGTATGATATGTACACCACCTCAAGGAAACCATGACCATGATTGCCAAAACACTGGGAGCAATATTACCTGTCTGGAGAACATATATATCTCGCAGATTCAAATATTGTGTTGTTTCCATACTGTATTGTGAGAATTATTAATTATTTCAAATATACTGAGAGAAACAAAATAAGGATCACAGCGTTCCTTTATTATTTTCCAGTTTTCATCACCACAGCGCTATTCAAAGCTGGTTATGAAAACTGGAAAATATTAAAGGAACGCTTGCATTTTCTTGTGATCGTTTTTTTGTTTCTCTCAGTATATATCAAATTAATATTATGCACACAAGACATGTATGTGTGAAATCACCCCATCATTAATACTGCAGGACCCTTTTTACAGCATATCAGAGGGGAAGTTTGTCGCATCAAACTGGAGCAAGTGTTAAGAACACCAGAGAGATCAGGCCAAAATATGTTGCAAGTAATTTCGCTGCTGGTTAGGGATTAAATAAGAGCAGAGCAGAGCAGCATGTGTATGCTGTTTGTTTAGTGAGAACTGTCATGACCAAGGTACATGTTGTCACTGTCATAGGAGCCTTGTCCTCCGAATGTATACTCTGTCTCCTTAATGCATAATATACCAAAAGCATATATGTATATCATTGCATTTCTGATTTTCAGAGCTTAGATTTGTCACTGATGGATAATAGGAAAGATTTACTTGTTCAGTTATGAGTTTCAATTACACATGATTTGCTTTTGTTTCTTTTAAATATTTGTTCAGTTTTTCTATATTTGCTTTTGCTTTTGTATCATTCCAGTAATTCAGTTCCAGTGTGTTCCAGTTAATGTCCAAGTCAGTCTTGGTCTGAATGTGACTGTTTAGTTATTGTCAATATACAATGCATCTTCTACGCACCATTTGTATCAGCTTTATTTCAGATTTTTGATTGGAAAATGGTTGTTCCATAAAACCATAAAGAGTTTGTACATTGAAATGCTGGTCAATCAACAGATATACATTTGGGCCTTCTTTCTCCTTATTGAAGCAAAAGTAATATTATAGTGGAGTTCTGTTTGATTTTTGCAGTGTAACATTACACACTGCATTTGGGGCATTAAAACTCATTTGGACTACTTGCAAAACATTAACGTCTTCATTATTTTATCAGTATATTAATTACATGTTATTATCTTATTAAGAATATTTAAATGATTCAGCTCGGAAATTGAGAATTGTGTCTGCTAATGATAGGCGTTTGGCTATTTGCATCAACTTGTTTGGCAGTCATGTTCAAATTAAGGATGTGTCTGTGTCAGGTTCTTGTTCATCTTATTACTTAGTCTGAAAAATCAACAGGTTTTTGCAAATGTTCATCTTATAATCTCAGAACATTTTCAGGATCACATCTTTGAGAAACTCAGTTTGCCTGCTTTGTCAGGGAGGTGAAAAAGTATTTTTTCAGTATTAATTTAAAAAAAGCATTTTTAGATGAAAACATTCATCCAATAACTTCATAAAGCGGTTCATTTATTAGAGATCGTGATTACTGCTTATAAATGGCAAGGTGATAAAAGTGCCTGTGAAGTATAGTTGCCACTTCCACTCACATTTCTGTAACAGCATTACAGCACTTCAATTTTCATGGTTGCCTCTGGCAATGCATATGCAAAACTGTATAGAATTTATTCTTTGAATTGGTACTGGCAATTTTCTATAGCTTGGATTTGCATTATAGGTAATACTACAACAAGTATCGGCATTACCAGCTTTGTTTATGGTTCTCCTAAGCCCTTTTGAACAATTAACACCTGTTAGTATGAATCAACAAACTACCTTTCCCACAAGTGAGTGAGTAACATGACAGACATTTCACACTGGTCTGAGAGTAAACTGACATGCATTATTTCGTCAATGGGAGTAAATTGACAGAACTGGAAAGAATGCAATTTCATTTAAATACTTTTGGTTTGGGCAAATGGCAAATAAACTTAGAAATCTCACTACATTGTTTATGCATGTTATGTGTACGAATACTCACTTAAGTGCAATAGTTATTTATTAGATGTGTACATATCTCTGAAAAGTTTCTTTGTTGTAGTGTAAACGTCCGACAGGTAAAAAGTGTTTGAAACCTTATGACCCTTTGCGTAAGGTTAACAGTGTGTCAAGTAAAAGGGAAATTTGCCATTCTATTGTATTGTCTTTTCATATGTTTCTATCTTGTAATATGGAAAAGTTCCAATGTTTTTTTTATGTATTGGTGTTAAATAGGGTATGGAATATTGGTAAAGAAGGGAAGTTTAAACGAGTTTTATAGTTAACCATTCTGTAAAAAGATACCAACAGGGTGGAGTTATATGTCAATTAGAAAACATTGAAGTATTACACTCTTGAAATTTACGAATCATCATTCATACTGTTACATTTTTATATATATTCTTTGAACAATGTTTAGTACAGCACACAACCAAACACATATTTTTTCAGCAGTGACTGCAGCAGAAATGCGATAACATTCAGAAATAACCATGTACTGTGGTGAGTGGTTGGTTACAAGGTTAGTTGTTCTGAAATAGTGTCATGTCGTATATACAGGTAATTAGCTGTCTGTTGAATTTAGGTGATGTTTTTGCATAATCTTTCTTTGTTACCTTTTATATGCCAATCTGCAACTATGGTTCAACTGTTATGCATAAGTAATGAAGAACATACGTGGGAGAACAGTAAAATGGTCATTTTAAATCCCAGACCAAATGTATGTTATCAAGACCAACATGATGGATGGGTAGATAAGTTACTAAGAAGTACGATTGTAATATGTTGATGAAACTGTAACCTGTCTTCGTATTTCATTAAACAAGATGTCTCCCCAAAAGGTCAAATACTCATCACGGTTCCAGCTAACCCACTTTCTCTCTCACCTTTTCTTCTAAGAGGCTCAAGTTTGGTGGTTATCTGCTATCATAGAAGG